TAGATATGCAAGGTAAATTGAAAAGTCAGAAAATAGATCAAATGGTATCACGTGAGATGTGTGCTCTTGCAATTATTGAGCATGATTTGCCTTTCAATTTCGTTGAGTATGAAAGGATTAGGAGTTGGATAAGTTACTTAAATCTTGATGCAATTCCAATTTCAAGAAATACTGCTAAGAGCGATGTCTTAAAGATTTACATGAGAGAGAAGGGGAACCTTAAAGATGTAATGGCTAGCATTCCAACTATGATTTGCTTAACTTCTAATTTGTGGACAGCTTGTAAAACGGAGGGTTACATAGGTTTAACAGCTCATTTTGTTGATAGAAATTGGAAGTTAAATAGCAAGATTATTAACTTTTGTCATATGCCTCCTCCTCGCATTGGTTTTGAATTATGTCAAAAAATCTGTGATTTATTGAAGGATTGGGGAATAGAGAAGAAGTTGTTTTCCATTACTTTAGATAATGCATCTGCGAATGACAATATGGTGAGAAAATTGAAAAGTCAACTTGGTTTGCAGAATTTTTTGTTATGTGATGGACAATTTTTTTCATGTTCGTTGTTCTGCTCATATTTTGAATCTAATTGTTCAAGAATGGTTGAAAGTTTCTAGTGATGCCTTGAACAAAATTAGAGAAAATGTCAAATATTTAAGGGTCTCAGAAGGCAGAATGAAAGCATTTAAAGAATGCATTGATCAAGTGGGAGGAATTAACAGTTTAAAAGGCTTATGCCTAGATGTCCCTACTAGATGGAATTCAACTTATCTGATGCTTGAGAGTGCTCTCATATACCAACGTGCGTTTTCTATTCTTGAATTCAGTGATAGAAATTATAAATATTGTCTTCACTTGATGAATGGGATAGAGGAGAAAAACTTAAGGGGTTCTTGAAGCCATTTTATGATATTACTGAGTTGATTTATGGCACATCCTATCCCACTGCCAACTTATACTTTTTGCAAGTTTGACAAATTCAGTGTAGTCTCCAGAACACATTACATGACGATGATAACATTTTAAAGAGCATGGCTGAAAGGATGATGGAAAAATTTGACAAATATTGGGAGAAATATAGTATTGTGCTTGCACTAGGAGCGCTTCTTGACCCACGGATGAAGACTTTTGCTTTGTCTTATTGTTATTCCAAAGTTAATCCATTGACAGGTGAAGCAAAAGTAGAAGAAATAAAGAAAAATGCATACAATCTCTTTGACAAGTATGCATGCAACATTCCTCCCTCTTCAAATGCTCAAAGTCAAAGTCTCAGTGATGTTACAAGTGCATCTTCAAGTGGGTCAATATCAAAAGAGAAGAAGAGATTTTCAGAAATCATGCTCCAAGTAAGTTTATTTTATTTTGAAATGTTAATTTATTTACTTGACTTCTGTATTTTTTAAGACTTATATTTTTATGTGTTTAACTTTTTAAATATGGTAGGAATTGAAAAAGCACAATCAGCCCTTCAATGCAGCAAAGATTGGAAAATCTCAACTTGATGTTTATTTGGGAGAGGAGAATTTGGAGTTTGATGATGATACATTTGATATATTACAATGGTGGAAGGGGAAAGCTAAACGTCTTCCAAATCTATCCCTAATGGCTCGTGACTTATTAAGCATTTCTATTACCACTGTTGCATCTGAATCTGCATTCAACATTGGGTCACAGATCATTAATAAATACAGAAGTAGTCTCTTACCTGAATGTGCTGAAGCTTTGCTTTGTACCCGTAATTGGCAGAATGGTTTTTTCAGCACTGGTAATTTATTTAATTTGAATTCATTTTATATTGAACTATACTTGTTTGTAAAATTAATTATTTTCTTTTTTTCAATTACTATTTATGTAGATAAAGGTGCCTCTGATGTGAAGATTGATGAATGATGAAGATGACAGTTCATGTTTTGTTGGAGTTTCTTCAAAGCAATGAATGAAGCAAGCATTTTGAATTTGTGATTTTTTTTTTTAATTTGAATGGACATTTGTGTGTATTTTAGTTAAACTTGATAATTGATTTCATGCATTAATATTTTTATTTTATTTTTTGGGTTGACTTGTAGAATCAGTTTTAAGCAGAATTTGTAGGGTGCTTTGATTCTTAAATTTTATGTGTTTTATGCAGATTTTTGTGTGTTTTTTATGTAGATTTTTTGTGTAGATTTTTTTATTTTTTTATTTTAGGATTTTTTGGCGGGTTGGCCCGCAGCCTGCCAGCCCATTCATAAAACGAGACGGGTTGATAATTGCAGCCCATTTTGCCAAAACGGGGCAGAAAATGGGTCGGGTCAGCCCGTATTGCCAGCCCTAGATTTAGTAGCCAGAGATAAAGTTATCTCAAGCAGCTTGAGAAATGAAGTCATATGAATTAATTAATATTAATTAATTATTAATTACACTACTAATACCAATCGATGATTTCCGTCCATCAACAGTTGAGAAGTGGTGTAAGACTTGTTAGTCTTACACTAGTGTAAAAAGAACCTGCCCCATATAAAGTTACGACCAATGTTACGACCAATCATCTCACCGTTAGATTGGTAGTAGCGATCCGACGGTCCTCATTTAATCTCTAAATATTCCTTGTTTTCGCTGCTCTCTCTCCTCCCCCTTCTCTCTCTTCCCTTCTCTCTCTCCTCGTTGATAACCATACACTCTCCCACCGCCCGCCGCCGCCCATATCCTCTGTCCCGACGTCTGACGGCGCCGCCTTCCTCCGATTACCGATTTAATTCGATTTTTCATAGAATTATTAATTATAGGTTTGATCACAATCACTCAATGCACTCCATGAAAGTAAAAAGAAAAAAAGAAAATCCTATAACCTAAATATTTTTTAATTTCTGCATCGATTTTATAACGTCAACGCCAACAAACACATCATTGACAATAAGAGTCATGCACAGTTGATATTATTATTTCTGCATCGACGGTAAAATAAATTTCAGATCTCAATTATTCTATATGAAATTGATTCGGGCGTTGAGATTCCATGATATTTATTCCATTATGCAGAGATGGATAAATGGCGGTAGAGAAAGGGGAGCACAACTCAGAGAGGGATAAGGGATAAACGGCGGCGGCGGCGAGACGGAGGATGTGGGCAGTGACGCCGTCACGTGTCTGGCTATGGGAGGAGGCGACGAAGGGAAGAGAGAGAGAAGGGGGAGGAGAGAGAGCAGCGAAAACAGGGAATATTTATGGATTAAATGAGTACCGTTGGATCGCTACTACCAATCTAACGGTGAGATGATCGATCGTAACTTTATTTGGGTGTCACAATATGCTATCCCATATATATATATATATATATTGCTTCTCTCGGATTGGTTATATAACCAGTTTATCAATTTCCGGATCGACTCGGTTGGGCCGGTCCGGGTTTATTAACAAGGAGAAAAGGTATGTAAAGTTACTTTAAATAATCTTATCTGTAACCCGCGATTTTAACTATGTCTTACCATTAAGACATAGTTACAATAGTAAAATTATTTTTTTCTCTTCGTCACGTCAGTCGACAATGTACGAGGAAAGAGACAAAAATAGCTCTATTATTATAACTATGTCTTACCAATAAGATATAGTTAAAATCGTACGCTGACGATAATTTATCTGAAGAACTGTAGAAAAAGTTAAACTTACATATATATAAATATATAGGGTTCAATTTTTTTTACAGCTGTTTTACGTGTAGTAGTCAAATACTTGGCATATATATACGTGAAAGCATTAAATGTAGGGAATCGTAACCATACAAATGGTAAAAATATTAAATGCGGAAAATCATAACCATACACCTGTTACTGTTGTACGTAAAGTGGCTGTATAAATAATTTTACCATATATATCTATGCATATATATAGACAGAGAGGAATATTTCTCAAGCAACATGAGATATATTTATCTCCGTCCACCCAAAAACTACGTTGTTTTGTTTATTTATTTCCTTATATTAATTGATTCACCTTTGAATGATTATTATTCCATTTTTCTCTCTTTTCCTTTATCACTATTGATTCATCTTTGTACGGTTATGATTTAGTAGTCAGAGATAAAGATATCTCGAGCAACTTAAGAAACGATAAGGCTACACACACACACACACACATATATATAGGCATGATCTTTTTACACCGGTGTAAGAATAACAAGTCTTACACCGCAGCTCAATCGTTGATGGACGGAAATCATTGGTTGTCATTTGTAATGTATTTAATAATTAATCAATATTAATTAATTTCTTAAATTATAACTGTTGGATGCACGGAAATCAACGATTGAGATGCGGTGTAAGACTCGGTGTAAGACTTATATATATAGCAATATGATCAACTTATACCGGTGTAAGAATAATAAATTTTACACCAAATCTTAACCGTTTATTTCTGTGCATCTAACGGTTGAGATTTATTGGAAACTAAAAATTAATTAATGAATGAGACCTAATAAATATTAATCGTTAAATGCACGAAAATTAACGGTTAAGATTTAGTGTAAGACTTATTATTTTTACACCAGTGTAACCGGTGCGAGAATAAGAAGTTTTACATCAAATCTTGATAATTGATTTACTTGCATCTAATGAATCATATATCTAATAAACTAAAATTGTTAGATATAAATACGACCAACGATTAAGATTGAGAATATAACTTACGTTAATATAAAATGATTCTGATGCTGTATATATAAATCCAAATCTAACGTGATAGATACATTATTCAAAATAGATAACAAATTCAAAAATAAAATAAAATGATGTTGGATATTTTAATCAATCACGCTCTTTTTTTTTTTTTTTGAGTTATTAAAAAAAATGTTAATTTGTAATGAGAATAGAAAAGGCAGGGGTGAAGTTGAGGCGTAGACGACAGGGTTCCCGTATTGTGTGGCGAGAATTTCCACGTGTGTGGTCAACTACGAACGGCGTCGCGTGGCGGTTCATGTCAGGTGATAAGTAATCCAATTGTGAAGAACAAAAAAGGCCTAAACAATTTTATCCAAAAAACAAAAAAGGCCTAAACAACGACGTGGCCGTCCCATGTTTGAATCCTCGTCTCGTTCAACCAACGCCCACCAAATCTCCCCCCTTCAACTTTCTACTCAACATCGACGTTTTTTCTCTACAAAACCATCGCAATTCTTTCTCCATTTAGCGTCTCCTTCCTTTTCAACATCGACGATTTTTCGTGTCCTAGGGTTCGCATTCTTCTGATTTCGTTTCGATTCCGAATCCCTATCTGTGATTCTCATTCGATAATATTTTTCCCCCCCAGATAATTCCGCTAAGCTATCTTTCTAGCTGCACTTGTATCGTAATTGGAAAAGGTCCATCATTCCTATTCTCTCACCGTGCCAAAATTTGATTAGGTTAGGTATCCCCAATTTTTTATTTTTATTTTTTTGGAGTGGACAATGCCACCATTTTTGTCGACCTCCAAGGCACTTCGCTCATTAGCATCGAGCAAAAGTGGTGTGAGTCAATTGATTAGGTGTAGCAAGAGCAGTGGGAAACTCGATGGGTGCCGATACCTCACTGCAATTGCCGGCAGGGCTACCCATCCGATTAAGCCCTTTGGCTCACGTATTGGTTTTCCCCCCTTAATGGGAGGGTTGTCTCATAATAATAATAATAGTCATGCTATCCAATCGAGGCAGTTTCTTGGATGTGGAGATGGTGAAGAAGGTGTTCTATCCAAAATTTATGAGGAGAGGCGCGTTTTGGGGTAATCAGGAACCTATTCCTTTCTCTTTGTCTGTGCTTCCCAGCATGTGTTTGTCTCTATTTGCATTCTATTTTTAAAATTATTATTGGTTGTCGATTTTCCCAAATTTACTTTTGTATGCATAGTAATTTAGAATAAGTGACTTTTGTAAATATTTACTGGTGTAGCTGGTGTCTTCTGTTACTAATCTTTGTATCTCAATCATTTATTTTCTTAATGAAAGTTTAGAGTTTCAATAGGTAATTCTGCTGATTGTTGAATTTTTTCTATTGTCATTATTAGCCCTCCCTTCTTATGCGATTTATTGCAATTCTTAGGAGTAAATTAGTTTTTGTGATGACTAACTAGTTTTATTATGCTGGGATATATTCTACAAACAGTTTAAAGCTCAAATATCAAGTTCGCACTTTTTGTACCAGGGTTATATGATACTCCTATATTTGAATTCAATAAGAAGATTTATGAATTTGAATGTATGGAATACTGTGGATGAATATAAGTTTATGAATCATCATCTTATCCTGGGCCTTGTAAGAATTACTGTTGAATATAGAATATTTATACCTTGTCATTGTTTTCTTTCTTGTATTTGTAAGCTAATATACTTATTGATTATTAGGTACTCTCCAGAGCAATTATTTGATGTTGTTGCAGCTGTTGACTTCTATCATGGTTTTGTCCCATGGTGTCAAAGGTCGGAGATACTTAAACACTATCCAGATGGATCATTTGATGCTGAGTTGGAGATTGGATTTAAATTTCTTGTTGAAAGTTATGTTTCTCATGTTGAATTGGTCAAACCAAAGCGTATAAAGGTATTCAACCTCCTTGTTTATGGTAGTTTATTTTTTCTTGAATTCAGGAGGACCATGGTTATGAGTTTTTTATTTTTGTGACTTAAAATTTCCATAATTGATGAGACCTGTAGGCTTATGAGCATCTCTGACAGACACAGTTAATTGCTTCAGTTTGAAAATTAGAGGGAGAATTGCAACTTTTTTAAACTAGAGGAAGCAAAGCAGTAACTATGCCTATGTATTAGCAATTTCTTACATTTTTGTGGTGGTGGTCAGAGCGAAGTGGACCCTTAGCAGGCTTGAGCAAAGCTCGTTTAAAAAAGAGGCAGCCCAAGCTCAACTTGTGTATTAATAAGCCAAAATATGAGCTTAATCTCAATGAGTTTGGTTACTATACCTAATCCGTATAAACAAACTCAAGCATAAATGAACCCAAGCCAGTCATGAACAAGTTTCAAATCAGCGCCCGTATAGAAGTTTATATGTAAAATAATATGGTAAAGAGAGAATTATTGAGAGAAATTGTGCGTATGGGCTGCATACTTGATCTATAATTTATAGCTTGATTGCTATCAATCAATGTAGTAATCAAGTGGGTAATTAGGAGTTAATTAGAAGCTAATTGACAGCCTTATAATCAGTAGCTAACTTGTAGCCTAATCACTAGCTAATCAACATAATTATGGTTGATGACATATTCTAATGAAAATGATAATAATTATTATTCTAGCAAACATCACATAACATATACATTGTTCTTACTTATTTTCACACGATCTATTCACGAGCCAAGTAGTAAAATCCTCAAGGATGGCTTGTTTATTGAATGAGCTCCTCACTTGTCTAAATCTCGGTTTGTTTATTATGAGATGAGCCAAGCCAAGCCCAAGCATTGTTGCCTATTGGATAAGATGCAGCAGTATCGTTTTTGTCTTATTCTTTTACTAGTATGTTGCATGAGCATCATGTGGTCAATCCATTATATGGCATGATAGCCACCTTGATATATGTGCCGAGATGAGCATATTGGCATACAAGATTCAGATTTGTACATCTGAGTTTAGCGCTTCTATCCCTTGTGATTGTTCTCTGTTGTATCTTGTTATTGCTAGAGTGTTTATGTGGCTTTGGTCCTTTTTAATTGAAGATTGAATGTTATAGATATGAGTTTTAGATTCTTTACTCACAAACCTGTGCATGGTTCACATTGGTTGATCATCAACTTGGACCTTTCATTATTGTGTTGTTCTTCATTTCTTTCTCTTTTTTTAATTTTTGGTAGTAGAGTTTTGCTCTTCATTTCTATTTATTTCTGTTGTTATGTACTTATACTATATATTTTTTTGTGTTTCCAGACAACTGTGTCGCAGAGTACTCTGTTTGACCATTTGATAAACATATGGGAATTTAGTCCTGGCCCGGTTCCAGGAACTTGCAATCTTCATTTCTTGGTGGATTTTAAGTTTCAGTCTCCACTTTACAGACAGGTATAGTTCTGTTATTCTGTAACCGTTTTCCTCAACTTACATTTTTGTTGTCTTTATGTTTGGAAAATCGATCAAGTCTTCTTATCTGTTAAATGACTGGTTAAGTATGCTTTTCTGGTGGTCAGGTTGCATCGATGTTCTTTAAGGAGGTAGCCTCTAGGATGGTTGGTTCATTTACTGAGCGTTGCCGTTTGATATACGGACCGGAAGTGCGGGTCCTTGAAAACTCATATGGAGAAAGGGCATAAGGTAGTGTTTCTGCCCACCAGTTTCTTGTTTAAACATAGTCAAGGCCAATTTACAGTTTTATCATTAACGGGGCAGGGTTTTTATTGTTCGCTGCTGAACCCTGAATGATTGATCATTTTTCTTTCTAATATCTAGTGACCTTTGTAATTTATGTAGATGAATTCTACTATATACTGTGTACAATCTTGAAAGTGACATATATTTAACATGGTTTTTTTTCCCTCAAGTGACTTCTAATAACGTCTTACCCCAAAAAGAAAAAAAGAAAAGAAAAGGAAAGGAAAATGGTTGCGCACATTTTAAAAATTAGATTGTAGTTTAGAAATCCCAAGTTTATTTCCTTATTTTGCCCACATGATTGCTGTCTGTCAAGCTGTAATTTGGACCTATTTTGGTAGAATATCAAAGAGCTCAGGGCAAAAATTCTGGAGTCATGTTCAAGAAACTCAAAATCTCAACGTTCAAGTTGTGGATGTTTATATATTATACCTATGAATTACTATATCATAGTAAACACCATTTTGCTATTTCCAATACTTTTAGAGCAAGGATGGACATCAATTAAAGTAGATAGCTTGCAGAGGTGATAAAAGGGCTAGGAAGAAATATGTTCCTTGAGGTCCGCAGGTGCATTGGTGTGGGGTGGTGCTAAGTTTGAGATTCCTTTAACTCAATTTTGTAACGAAAAACCGCTATTCTTGCTGTAAACGTAACAAGCCCTCTGTGGTTGTGTATTTCACCAGCGGAACATCTGTTAACTACTTGTGGTCTAACATTTAGAGGTTCCCGCTATAACTGTTGATATAATACTTGACAAACCCTCATTTTATGTGAGACCTGTTAATTCTCTTTTTAAGTTAGGTCAAACAAGGTTTATAAAAGTTATTATAATAAAAAGAATTTTTTTTATAATAAAGAAAAAAACTAAAAGTTAAAATTTCTTAAGATTTTTTTTTTATTTTTTTAAAGTTGTATCAACTTATTTTTAATTTGAGTTTTTAAGTAACTTTTAAGTTAAATTTTTTATAAAATCATCAAACAATTTTTAATTTTTTTTAAGCTTAAAAGTAACTTTTAACTAAAAAAGAAAAGAAAAGTACCAAAGTAACTGCTGGACTACTTAGGGAACTCACACTACTTATCTTAGAGATTCTTTAATAAATGAGGTTTTGAATCTAGTTCCTAAATATGAATTTCGAAATTGCTTTAATTTAGGAAAATCACTCCATTTCTTTAATTTTTCAATTTAGTTCCTAAGTATGAATATCACCTTAGAGGTTTATTTATCCTACTAAATTGAACTACATATCAAATATCGAAATCACACTAATTATCAATAAAATTAAACTTACGTATACTCAATTGAGTTTTGAATCACACTCGCAGGCAAGGGCATCGCCCGGCTCCTCTACTTGTATGTACTAGTAGTATACACAAGTATTAAAAGGTCTTGGTCAAATATAAACACACATGCCACAAGTAGAAAGAAAATTTAATTTGTTTCTATTATTTTTAGTATTAGAGCAATAGCCTAGTAGTGCCCACCACCAGGGAAAGGGAAGGAATGTTCCATCAATGGACATTAAACTTTCCATTTGGTACTTCGTAGCAAATATCCCAACAAATTAGGCTGCCAAGATTAAAGTGTTTTGAGTGTATAGAATGGTGTTTAATGAACTTTGTCTATACAAACAAAGACTAATTTCCCAGCACAACCGTCCCCGAGGGCACCGTGACACCATTCCTTAAAGTTAACTCAAGATGTCTTGGGCTTCAAGAGATGAGTACTTGAGGATGGCTGCAATAATCCTATCTTTGTCTCTGGTTGGGAATGCTTCCAACAGGACTCCATCTTTGTAGAAGTGAAAAAGAGGCACGGTCTGCATCAGTTTGTTTCCTTTTTATATTCGACGGATCATAAAGCATGAATACATGAGTGTAGTGATTATATGCAGTTGCATGTAGTACAAATGATGCACAACCGAACATCTATTGCAGATGGGGAGAAAATAGAATTATCCATATAAAGGAGAGGGGTGAAAGAGAAGACAGTTTCAGAGATAAATGTCAAAAAAGAAATCACAAGATGAACTAGAACCAAACAAGAAAATGGTATTTTGCACCAATTAGATCATGAAGGCACTAACTATAAAACTTTGAAGACAAGTTAGACAGCAAACATGCAGATCAGGTTGATGGCTGATGCTTAGCTGTCTCCAGCGGAGACAGGCTAGTTTTATATGATTTTCATTTTAATACTCAATAATCAATAAAAGATAAATACCCTGATTCTTAGTCGCTCTGCAACCTCGGATTGCTCATCATATTCATCAATTACCTACAAGCAATGGCGTAATAACTAATAAGAGTCTCTGATAAAATTCTAACATGGCAAATCTAATAATTAATCAAATAAAACCCCTAGTTTAAGAGATAACGAAAAAGTAAATGTTAGTTGATCAAGACTTTCTTCTGGACAGCTTGGAGAGAACTTGGAAGTATTAAGGAGCTAAACAGATAGTATACTTACATTATGCTTTAGAAAGATTACCGGAGCATCATGGTCACCAGATTTCTTGCACAATTTTGCAAAACCATGCTCTATATACTTGCAACTTCCACAAGAGGTGCGGAAGAAATCTACCACGACCAAAGATCCAGTTTCTTTAGCCTTGTCCAGAATTTTGCAGAACTCTTCATCAGTGGTGAATTCTCTTACACACTCAACGGGACAGAGATCGTCCTCTTCAGCGAGCAAATCTTCTTGATATTCCTCTGCAACTCTTATCTTACTAGGGCAGAATGTGCGCCTGATTTTTGTTATAGGTTCCATTTTTGTCCCACCAAAACATAGTTTGCGCTTACTGTGCCTAGGAACCAAGCTGAAAACTACATGTGAAATTGCAGACTTAACTGGTGTCTGTAGGTCTAGTCTTACAGTGGGAAAGGACTTGCTATACAGAATGACAACTTGCTGCATCTTTTCCAGACAAGATCTTGTGCGGCTCGTAATCAAGAATTTTGGAGAGAAGCTTTGATGAGTTAGCTGGTAGCTGATGGTGACTCATAGAAAGGAGTGCTGGGTTTCAAACTTTCAATTGACTCACATTTCTTGTGCACTTATCTGATTTCAAGCTAAGGGGTAAGGCACCCTATAAAAAGCATCATCAAATAAAATGATAAATAATGACCAAAAACGAAAATGGTTTTCTAACAAAATCTCTAAACAACTAACCTATTCGAAAAATGGAAAACAGATTATAAGTGGTTGTGATTCAATTGACATAGATGTTTATTAAAAACACATATAGCCATGGTAGTATAACCATTTCTAACTCTCCCAATCACCAGAAGTGAAACACCAAGTCTTAAGGGATCATGATCTATAAATTTGCAGAAACAGCAATCGGTAAACCCTATGACAAGTGACAACATGTCAAACATGACATTGTACATCCACTCGGAAGTGCAGTCCTGCCCCCGGGAGAAGATAAAAACAAAAAAAACAAAAGCATTCCTTCCAGAAGCTACACTAATTTGAAGGTTAAAAAGTTACTTGATCCATTATATTTTATAATTGACCGAAAAAAAGGCTTAATTAATTTGAGCAAACAAACATGTTTAAGAATAAAACACGCAAACACAACACAATGGTCAAATATGTAAGCTTCAATAGAAGCATCGAACGAACAGAACAGGAAGGAATACCTGTTATGGGGGATTATCTGAATAGAAAAGCGCGCTTTTGCGATATCTCTGCACAACAAACTTCGAATGAGGAGAAGACACGCACTCCCCCTCACATCCACGCACTGTGTTTGGGATTTATTCTCTTTTTTTTTTTTAATAATATTTATTATTTATCTTTCCAGTTTCTGCTTGCGTGTCTTTATTAATTAAACACTTCAACTTATAATTATGTTACTTATTTAAAAAATAAATTACATCATATTTTCTTACGTTGCATGAAAAGAACAAAAGTAGAGACAAATTAAACGTGAGTCTCATATTTTATATTTTTAAAAAAATAAAATTAATTGATACGAAAAACGAATTTGTGTAGAAAAATTTGGTGCTCTTCTAATTGCACGAGAGTATGATTTCACGTAAGTATTCTTATAAACTTTTTTTCGACCTGCATTTGACAAATTAACAGAATAAAATAGTCCAAAAGTGCATAAGTTGATCCAGACACTAAATTAATAATAATAAAAAATTGCGAACCTACGAGGATAGTGTAGTAATTAGGCCCATGTTGTTCGTTATTAACTTTTAATCCATTCAATCAGTGTATTATTTACTTCACCTTCCAACTGGCTAGCTATGTCTCCCGAACCAAATCTGTTTTTGTTTCACTCTCTGTTCCAGAATGCGAGGTGGGCACTCGTTACTTTCCGGCAGCTTTTAGGGGCTAATGCGAATCCCAATGATGTTACTTTTTCGTTACTCATCAAAGCTTGCCTTTCCTCTTCTGCTTTTGCTTCCACTCCTGTTCTACATGTAAGACAGATTCAAACCCAATTGGTGAAACGGGGCATTAACCAATTTCTTTATGTAAATACCGCCCTTATTGATTTCTACATGAAACTGGGATTTACCACTCATGCACGCCAACTGTTCGAAGATATGACTTTTAGAGATGTTGTTTCATGGAACGTATTGATTTGTGGATATTCACAAAATGGGCTTCCTTATGATGCTCTTCAACTCTTTGTACACATGCTTAGAGAGAGTTTCAGACCTAACCAAACTACAATTGTTAGTTTGCTACCTTCTTGTGGTCTACGTGGGCTGATTCTTCAAGGTAGATCCATTCATGGGTTTGGAATCAAAGCTGGCCTTGGTTGGGATCCTCAATTGAATAATGCCCTTACCTCAATGTATGCTAAATGTGATAATTTGGAAGCTTCCCAACTCTTATTTGAAGAAATGGCTGAGAAGAATGTTGTCTCTTGGAATACCATGATTGGTGCGTATGGACAAAATGGTTTTTCGGACAAGGCTATTCTTTGCTTCAAGGAGATGCTGAAGGAAGGTTTAGAACCCAGTCCGGTGACAATGACGAACCTAATGTCAGCAAATCCTGTTCCGGAAACTGTCCATTGTTATATTGTCAAATGTGGCTTCACCGATGATGCTTCTGTCGTTACTTCGCTAGTTTGTCTATATGCAAAGCAAGGGGTCACAGATATTGCAAAATTGCTTTACAAATATTTTCCAACAAATGACCTGATTTCTTTAACTGCGATAATCTCTAGCTATTCTGAAAAAGGTGATATAGAGTCTGTGGTTGAGTGTTTTATCCAAACTCTGCAGTTAGACATAAAACCAGATGCAGTTGCCTTGATTAGTGTCCTTCATGGAATTACTAGTCCTTCTCATTTTGCTATTGGCTGTGCTTTCCATGGTTATGGGTTGAAGAGTGGGCTCATTACTGATTGCTTGGTTGCAAATGGGCTAATAAGCATGTATTCTAGATTTGATGAGGTAGAAGCAGCTTTGTCTTTGTTTTTTGATATGAGCGAAAAACCACTGATCACTTGGAATTCTGTGATATCAGGCTGTGTTCAGGCTGGAAAATCAAGTGATGCCATGGAGTTGTTCTGCAAAATGAACAAGTATGAACAAAAACCAGATGCCATTACTATTGCTAGTCTACTATCTGGATGTTGCCAGCTTGGGAATCTGCGGATTGGAGAGACACTGCACGATTATGTCCTGAGGAACAATGTGAAAGTGGAAGATTTTACAGGAACTGCTCTAATAGATATGTATATTAAGTGTGGAAGATTAGACTATGCTGGAAAGGTATTTTATAGCATCAATGATCCGTGTTTGGCAACATGGAACTCTATCATATCCGGTTATAGTTTATATGGACTTGAACATAAAGCTTTCAGTTGTTATTCAAAATTGCAAGAACAAGGGCTAGAACCGGATGAAATCACCTTCTTGGGAGTTTTAGCAGCATGCACCCATGCGGGACTTGTCAATGTAGGATTGGAATACTTCCGTATCATGACAGAAGAGTATGGATTGATGCCAAGTTTGCAACATTATGCTTGCATAGTTGGTCTCTTGGGTCGGGCAGGCTTGTTCAAAGAAGCAATTAAATTTATCAACAACATGGAGATTCGGCCTGATTCTGCTGTCTGGGGAGCTTTATTAAGTGCTTGTTGCATCCAACAAGAGGTCAAGCTTGGGGAAGGCTTGGCGAAAAAATTATTTTTATTGAATTACAAGAACGGTGGCTTTTATGTATTAATGTCAAATCTTTATGCAATTGTTGGGAGGTGGGATGATGTGGCAAGAGTAAGGGATATGATGAGAGACAGTGGAGGAGATGGATGTTCAGGTGTTAGTGTTATTGAAGTAACATCCATCTAAAGACACGAATAAAGGCTGTTTGAAAACAAGCAGGTTAAATTTAATGTACACTACTTTAACCATAAATTTAAAAATATTGTTAAATTTGAAACCAATAATGATTTGCATATATTAAAGGATACTGAATAAAAACTCTTTATTGCTTTGAAAAAAACCTAGAACTTCTAACACATCATAATTTAAATATTCAACTAACTTGTAATTAATTGGGAGGAAAATGAAACGATAGTAAACGATGGAGCGTGTAATCTCTCAAGGATTTTACAATTTAATTCTTTTAAAATATTAAATAGTTGCGTCCACCCACCCAATCACTGATCACATCTCACTTTGAGTACAAAACCAAACGATATTGAGTTTAATGGTTGCAATCTGCATCTAAATCGCGAGGCAAGTGGCCTAGTGGTGATCGGTAGGGTCCACACCCCAGGAAACGGGTATCCTTTCTTTTTCAAAAACCCTAGCCAAAATCCAAACGTTTCGTTTTCAAAATTCGAACTTGGCGCTCTACGCATTTGGGATCTTCTTCTGTATCTCCGAGCCCGAACTCATCTTTTCTTTCGATCGTCAAAGAAAAATGGGTGGGTCTCATAGTCGCGAATACTTGTTAGAAAGTTCCGACTCGGAACGTGAAGAAGAAGAAGAAGAGGGAAACTATGAAGATGCGACAGGAGAAGATTCGGAACGGAGAGTGAAAACACCGTCATCAATTGATGACGTTGAGGCCAAGCTCAAAGCCCTCAAGCTCAAATACTCTTCAACCCACAACCCCAAACTCAATAACGCCGTTAAGCTTTACCTTCACGTTGGTGGAAACACTCCAAATGCCAAATGGGTAACCTCTGAGAAACTCACCTCTTACTCTTTCGTTAGGACCCGCCGAATCGATGACGATGACGAAGACGAAGACGAAGACGAAGCTGAGGAAGATGGGGAATCTTCGTGGGTTTTGAAGGTTGGTTCCAAAATCCGAACCAAGGTGGGTGCGGAGATGCAATTGAAAACTTTCGGCGACCAGCGTCGTGTGGACTTCGTTGCGCGTGGTGTTTGGGCTATGAAGTTCTTCACAGAACAAGATTACAATGCCTTTGTTGCAGAGTTTCAGAAGTGTGTGTTTGAGAACACGCATGGCGTTGAAGCGACGGAAGAAAACAAGCTCAAGGTTTATGGAAAGGATTTTATTGGGTGGGCGAAACCAGAAGCTGCTGATGATTCTATGTGGGAAGATGCGGATGATAGCTTCTCCAAGAGCCCCGGTTCCGCCACTCCGTTGAGAGGGAACCAAGACTTGAGGGAGGAGTTTGAGGAAGCAGCAAATGGTGGGATACAGAGCTTGGCTTTGGGAGCATTGGACAACAGTTTCTTGGTTGGCGATACCGGGATTCAGGTTGTGAAGAATTTCGCTCATGGGATACATGGGAAAGGTGCTTTTGTCAATTTTGGTGATAGATATCAGAATGCGGGTTCGTCTTTGGTGCATTCTACACCCAAGAAAACGCTTCTTATGAAGGCGGAGACCAACATGCTCCTCATGAGTCCAATGGGTGGGGGTAAGCTTCATTCTACTGGGCTTCACCAGCTTGATATTGAGACTGGGAAGGTTGTGACGGAGTGGATGTTTGGAAAGGATGGGACTGAAATTACAATGAGAGATATCGCCAATGATAGTAAGGGTGCTCAGTTGGATCCTTCGGGATCTACTTTTCTAGGATTGGATGATAACAGGCTTTGTAGATGGGATATGCGTGACCGCAATGGAATAGTTCAAAATCTTGCTGACTCTAATGCTAAGACAGATACCCCTGTCCTCAATTGGGCACAAGGGCATCAGTTCTCAAGAGGGACCAACTTTCAATGCTTTGCCACCACCGGTGATGGTTCAATTGTTGTAGGATCTCTTGATGGGAAGATTCGCCTCTATTCAATCAACTCTATGAGGCAGGCAAAAACAGCTTTTCCTGGCCTTGGCTCGCCTGTTACTCATGTTGATGTTACTTTCGATGGCAAGTGGATTGTGGGTACAACCGATACCTACTTAGTTCTTATTTGTTCCATCTTTACTGACAAAGATGGGAAAGCAAAGACTGGTTTTGCCGGACGCATGGGAAATAGGATCGCTGCCCCAAGATTGCTGAAGCTCAACCCTCTGGATTCACATTTAGCTGGAGTCAATAACAAATTCCGTAATGCTCAGTTTTCTTGGGTAAGTATAAATCTTATGTCTGCTTGCTTATGATTGTTTCCCCTGTTATCTTGCAAATTAAGAATAATGATACCATCTATTGCCTGCGAATTGTCATGGGCTCATGGCTCCAAATGTTATGATCATTCTGTTGTTCTTCTCCTCAATTGCCCTTTATTGTAAAGAAAGTATCTTGTGCATCAAAACATGTTTTGTCATCCTCCTGAGTCATGGTTTATTGGTGTGCGCAGCATCAATAATAAATATATGATTGTCATACTGTGTTGCAATTCAAACACAAGGACATATTACCTTATATATCATATTAGCTTGTCAATGTCATATGTTAGAGTTATTTGCAAATTATAATATAAGGAGATATTATACCTTATCAGCCGTACTTCAAATAAATATATTTACTATTGATAGCGGTGGGTAACATCTTGTATTTCTTTAGGAGATGGGGTAAAGTAAATGTCTCTATGCTATCATCTAATAACTTTTCCTCTGGTTGCATCTTTTCCATAACTTGCTGCTATGCTCTTATTTCATTTTGTGAACTGAAGGATTGCACTTGAATCTGTTGGTGATGAACATTATCGTGCATTGATAGAACTGGACCTGAAATAGCTGAACGATACTTTATTATATCTGAAATTCTGCTCTTGATATTGATTGATATCAGAAACATTGGTATGTTTGAACAGAAAATAGTGAAAACTCTCTTCCTCACTTCATGTCAACAGGACAGAAAAGTACAGATATCCCAGACTCTTGGAGAGGCCTAGACTCTAACACCAATTTCTTCACTCACTAATTTCCTATCTCCTATCTGTTTTACCTCCCTCTCTCTTATAAACATGTCCCTCATTCCCTCCCTTGCTTCCCACACTCCCCTGCTGCCTCGTGTGAAGCAGGTTGTTACATGAAGTCCCGCTTCCCACCTTGCCTACATGGGGACTTTAATCCCCTACCCTACTACACCCTCTTCCTTTTCTAGAACACACCTTAGTCAGCTTTGGATACCTAGCACATGCACTGAATGGAAACTTCTATATTGGCATCTCATTTGGATGGTCTCTTCTATGTAATTTTTTTACTTCTGGTAAAACTGTATCCAGGATTAACAAATTCATAACAGTGAGGAACTGTGCATGTTAATTTTTTATTGGTTTTGAAGTGAATGGCACGTTTGCTGTCGCTGAAAACTTAGATTGTTGTAGATTTGCATGGTGTTTTTCCCTGAAGTTAGTTTGTGACCGCTCTGTTCCCACATCTGCTGAGAAGTGACATATCGTGGCACTTATTGTGTCTTTCATATTCTTGTGGAAATATATATTATTATGATTGCGTCTTCTTGGTTGCTTAGGTGACAGAGAATGGGAAGCAGGAGCGACATATAGTAGCCACAGTGGGGAAGTTCAGCGTGATATGGAACTTCCAACAAGTCAAGGATGGTTCTCACGAGTGCTACCATAACCAACAGGGTCTAAAGAGCTGCTACTGCTACAAGATAGTCCTTCGGGATGATTCCATTGTTGATAGCCGGTTTATGCATGACAGGTTTGCAGTCACTGATTCTCCTGAGGCTCCGTTGGTAATAGCCACGCCAATGAAAGTCAGCTCATTCAGCATGTCCAGCAAGCGATGATAATCTGGACACAGCCATTGATCTAATTGTTAGCTCTTTCAGCTTAATTAATGACATTTTAAATGTTTTGTTTAAAAACTTTTCGATTGTACTTAGGATGTTTAAGGTGTAGTTGAAGGAAAAATCAGCGATGGTTGTCAAATTGTACCATTATATTCAGTTTTTCTTTCAAGGTAATGCTAGTTTGTCCCAAAATTATCATTTTCATTTTAATCTCTCTTTTTTTCTTTGTCTGAGTTACCAATCCCTAATTTATTGAATACTTCTACTTGAGCCCTGTGATGGAAGGAGCCATCTCAGCCTCCACTTTCTGTTTGCGCTGTCTTTTAAGTTACCTTATAAATTGAAAAGGTCTGAAGAAACTAAAAGGTACCTCAATCGACACAAATGCGGTGAAGTTGAATATGGAATATGCTGATATTTTAGAAATTTGGAGAGCATGAAGTTCTGGTTTCTGGAGTAGCCTTGAAGCTGGTGTTTCTAGGGTGGAAGTCATTGTTACTGTGAATCTAATTTGTTTGTCTGCAGTTGTTTCTGTAGACATTCTCAACCATAAAAATTGCCAGAATTTTATTATAAACATAATTATGAGAACTGAATATTAAATGAGGATTGTTGGATGCAAGAACTGCAACGCAGCCCATCCCTTTCCCTCACAAGCAGACGTTTCTAATCTCCATGGATAAGTGGGCCCATGTTTTCTTTTCTTTTTTTTGTTATTTTCTTTTACTTTAAACTAAAACAACAGGAGTAAAATAATATGCATATGTGGTTGTTGTGAAAGTAGCAATTTTGAGCAGTGGGATTTGTATCCCTCCAAAAGTAGCAGATAATAATCAGATAACAATGGCCGTAGCAATAGGAAGAAGCTTCCCTTTTCAGCCACGCGCTTTATTCAACAGTAAGAGCATAGATAAACCTTCACCAGCCGGAAGATACTCGTGGGGAGGAGGAGTCACTCCACGTAATAGGCAAGTTTGTGTGGCAGCACAACAGAGACCTACATGGCTCCCAGGACTTGATCCCCCACCTTATCTTGATGGAACGTGAGCTCTAAGAATTCTATGCATTTTAACTCTTTATTCATCTTGTTCTGCCTGTTACTGCTACTTTCTCTTTTCAAGTTTTAACATAATGGTAAGCTTTACAGTCTTCCTGGAGATTTCGGGTTCGACCCACTTGGGCTTGCAGAGGATCCAGAAAGCTTGAAGTGGTACGTGCAGGCAGAACTGGTTCATGCTCGCTTTGCAATGCTTGGCGTATTTGGAATTCTAGTGACAGATGTGAGTCCCCCCCAAATTGTACATATTTGCACATAATAAAGATTAGTTGTAGTAACATCTTTTCATTAAGTTAATAGAATCTATCAAATATCCACAAGTTGAGGTATTTTTAGAGAAACTTCACTTCTTAGTAATATGTGCAGCTACTTCGCGTCACAGGACTTAGTAAGATACCAGTTTGGTTTGAAGCTGGTGCCGTAAAATACGAGTTTGCTAACACAGAGACACTCTTCATTGTTCAGCTACTTTTGATGGGGTACAATCTTAGTTTCTGCTTGATGAGTTGAGGCTTTCATATTTATCCTTTTGAGGATTCACGGGCCTGTACGTATGATTTCAGGTTTGCCGAAACAAAAAGGTACATGGATTTCGTTAGTCCTGGTTCTCAAGCTAAAGAAGGATCCTTCTTTGGATTGGAAGCTGCATTAGAAGGCTTAGAGCCAGGGTATTTCCATTTTTACAATGACAATAAATATATATATATATCTATCTATCTCTTATCTTTCTCCCTCAGTTTTGAATCTTATTCCGTGTGTGTTACTTAATTATTGTATCGAGCATGAATTATTATTATTATCTTGGGCTGAGACACATGCATTATCCTCAGCAACGGAAAAAACTGTCATAGGGCAATATGATTTTACTGCACTTTCGCATTAGCAGACGTTGAGGTATATATTCTTGTTTCAACAAACAGATACCCTGGGGGTCCTCTGCTAAATCCTCTTGGTCTGGCTAAAGACATTAAAAATGCTCATGACTGGAAGCTTAAAGAGATCAAGAACGGTATCATTTTTCTCAGTTCTTTAAATCTTTATCGGTTAGTTTATAATTCTCCAAAGCTCGTTTCAATAGTTGTATATGTTCTGGTTACAGGGCGACTTGCAATGGTGGCAATTCTTGGCATCTTTGTACAAGCTTCGGTGACTCATGTTGGGCCAATTGATAACCTTGTGGAGCATCTCTCCAATCCATGGCATAAAACTGTTATTCAGACCCTTGCAAGTTCAAGTTCCTAGTTCGAAGAAGCATTGTATTAGTTTTATGTGACATGGAATGATCCACAAAATGAAATTTCTTCTTTTCCCCCTTCAAGATCTAAGGGTCTTGAGGTAAAAGTATTCAATTACATTTCAACAACGGGATAACTGTTCATTGTGGCCAATTGAATGATCTTAGTTCTTCGTTTAAGCTTGGGGAAATTACTCAAAATCGGCTTCCTAATTTTTATTTTTTTAATTTCAGTTCATATAACTTTTTGAAGCAAATTATAACAATTTTTAACCCAAAAAGGTCATTTACCCTAAGCTTCATTGCACGCGAGTGAAATGTTTAAACCAGAATAGACAGGCAGAATCCTGCCAGTTTGATGAGTCTCCCGGTCTTTCTGCTTCCTATTAAATATATGCATGGAACATTATCATACAGTGTTTGTTAAATAAGTTCATGAAAGTAAAAAGATTTTCCAAAAATTTGACATTTAAAGTTGCATAAAAAAAATCAAACAGAACAAAGGATAAATCTGTCATTGACAACTCATTAAAGCAGCATCAAATGATCCAGAACATTGAACCTGCTAGAGACCAGTTGGTCCAGTTCTATAAATTAAATCCGAGTATAGGAGTCTATATTTTTTTAAATCTGACTTTAGCCTTTATATGGTAAACTCCATGCATCAGAAGATCCACAATAATCTCACCTTTTGATTGGGAGCCATTTAGAAGCTTTTTCCAGGTTTCAATTTAATGAGGTTTTTTCAATATTCCAACACCATGCCATTAAGCGCTTCAAATCTCAAACTGGAAATTTTTCTTTCAATTGATCAAATCTCATACAAATCTTTACAGAAGCCGAGGTTCAATATATCAGAAGCCTATACACAATACAGGATCATCTTATTTTCTCTTTTCCCACCAAAGATAAACTCATTTTTACCTCCTCATAAAGGACTGAGCAGGCGACCATACACCATCCATTTAGCGAAAGAGAGTATAATCCAATCAAACCATACATATAGCAACCACCAACATGTACACGTTCGGTATAGTTTTGAACAGTCCAGCTTTTCAAGTCACTGTGGGAACTCCAAAATGATGGGAGTTAAGATAACTGCAACATAACAATGTATATGATTTCAATTCGGGATTACCCTGACTTGGTTGAATGAGATTTTCTTTTAGCAAAAAACATCAAAACCCGTGGGAACAATGATTTCTTCTTCTTTTTCCCATGTTTTGATTCTGGGGATGATCCACTTTCATCATTGTCATCATTGTCAGCATGGGCATAAGCCTTTGGACTTGACATGTAATGTGCAGGATTAACTGCATGATGAGCCCGGTCAAAATTATTCGCTTCCTTACTACCCTCAAAACTACCCCTAGGGCTTTTGTTCTGGTCTACCACTGACTCACCAGCCTTTCTTCGTTGCTCGTTATCAGCTCGCCATTTTCTTAATTCTTGTTCTACACCTAATTTACCTTCCTTTGCCTTCTCAGCTTTTTCCATTGCCATCTTCAAAGATTCCCTTCTAGCAGCTATCTCTCTATTCACATCATCCAACTTCTCGAAGGATTTCAATTCAGACTCCTTAGCTATATCAATTTCAGAATTAGCAGCTGCAACCCTCATATTGGCTCGCTCTTCTGCCTCATGAGCTCGTTTGCTGAGCTCATAGTACTCCTCCAAAGAAAGTGTTACCCCAGTGGACGGGTTCACTTCATTGTTGCTTCTAGTTGATTCACTCTCTTTCAATGCTTTAATTGCTGCTATTGCCAACTTTTCAGAAGCCTTTGCAGCCTCTATTTCCTTTTCAGCTGCAAGTAATCTACTTTCCAAGGTACTTACTCCAGCCTTGGCTTGGTCTGCTTCTGCCTTTACTTTCTGTAGCTCTTCACGAGCTGCTTGAGCAAGCAAGTTGGCCTGATTAGCCTCTTCAGCTGATAGCTGTAGCTTCTTGGGAAGTTCGGTCATTTTCTCTTTGGCTTCTTTCTCCTTCATCTGAACCAAAGCTATTTCTGATCTAGTCTTGTCCAATTCAGCTTCGAGAGATGTAACTGCAATGGAGGCCATTCCCTCTCTTTGCTTGATGGAGGCAAGAGTTGATTTTTCTTGTTCAAGTTCTGATTTTAATGATGTAGCAGCTACCTTCAAGCAATTAACCTCAGCAGTTGCTTTCTCTATGTTTAGCTTTACTTCCTCAAGTTCCTTTCTGGCTGATGCCACTGCTGCTTGTATTTCAGTGTGTGTCTTCTTCTCTTGTTCTTCTAGGTCTCCTTTTGAGATTCTTTCTTCATCACCTTCCTGCCTTAACTTTGATTCCATATAAGCAGTTAATTCAGCTTTCAAATCAAGAAGCAAAGCAGAAGCTGTTTCCAGTTTAGATTTGAGATCCTTGGCAAACAAAATTTGCTGGTTGAGTCTCTGGAGCTCTTCTTCTGTCTGTTTAATTTCCTTCTCCCAATTGAGAGAATCTTGATCTCTTGCCATGACTGTTCCTATTCTATGTTCCTCTGCTTCCAAGTGTGCAGCATGTGCAGTCTCCAATGACTCTTTTGCGGCAATTAGCTCAATAGTTAAATCTTCCACTGATTTCTCCACTTCTTTTGATGCAGCAACAGCCTCTTCAGCTTTCTTAATAGCTACCTCTTTATCAGTAACTAAGGAAGCATATTCCTTACGCAATGCTTCCAGCTCCTCTTTCACAGCTATTAAATCCGAAACAGCTGCTGTATACCTGGCTTTTGCGACCTCGAGTTGTGCCTTGGCTGCAACACTCGATTCATCTGCAATACCCTGCTCCATCTCTTCCACTCTGAGCTTTGCAAGTTCCGAGTCCTGTCTTGCTTGACACTCTTCTGTTTGTGCCCTCTCTAGGTTAAGTTTTAATTCTTCAATTAGTCTCTTTGTGCTGTCCAGCTCTTTCAGTACTTGAACTTTTGTCTCTTCAGCAGCCTCTGCTTGTTTTCTGTACTCTGGGATCTCCTCTTGTGCTTTTTCAAGTTCTTGCTCTACAAGATTGCGTCTCTGTACATCCAGAAAAAAAGAAAAAAGAAAAAAGAAAAAAGAAAAAAGAAACTGAAGTTAATTGCAGTTCTGGCAGACAAACAGTATAGTCATGAGAACAAATAATTTCTCTTCTGCTGGGCAGGAAGCAAGCCTGGAAGAATAATCAATAGCAAAAAAACAATTTTTTGACATCAGAAAGGACATATATTCTGAAAGGTCATGGGTTCGAATCCAGGGAACAGTCTCTTTGCAATTATGCAAGGGTAAGGCTGCGTACAAGGATTTCCTCCACCCCACACTCACTAGTCGGGTTTAACGGGGAGTGGTTTAGTTTGTTTAGAAAGGACATATATTGGGCAAAAAGTACCCACAATTCATTTCCTACTTTGTTTCAGTCCAAAATGAATTGATAAAAAGGGAAATCATAAATAGCAGAATCATTTCAATTGCAGAATCACAGAATTCATGGTTTCCTTGTAGGATTACAATTAGTATCAGCGAAGAACTTTAGCCTGTTTAACAACCAAAACTGATTAAAGCATAAGAACTCTGCCATAAAATTAGGTGACCTGCATATGGATTAATATCCCAAAATAACAGTGTTCATATTTGTTAAAGAATAATATAAACCATTAAAAAGGCCCTCACCCAACAACTTAAGCTTTTGGGTTGAATTGGTTCTTTATATGGTATCAGAGCCTCGTGTCCCGGGTTCGATCCTCACCACCCCCCACTTTCTCTTGTGAAATTTCTTAGCACAGGTAGACTGGGATTGATGCATTATTCACTTTTCAAGCCCAATGGGCTCTCGTGTGAGGAGGCGTGTTAAAGAATAATATAAACTATTAAAAAGGCCTTCACCCAACAGCTTAAGCTGTTGGGTTGAATTGGTTCTTTACAATATTCTAATATCAAAAATTTGAGATATAGCATACACCCTGCTCCTTCCCAAAACTATTGATAGGCAAATACATGTAAAATGAAAAAGACAAGTTGCACTATAAGGTCTAGGAACAGCATGCCAGCAGTAAATTTTACAAATACAGCATAAGGATGCACAATAATGATGTTGTTACTAAAATAAAAATAAGCCTAAAAACCCCAACACAAAACATGCAAGCATGCACACATAATTCTAAGCCAATTTTCGGTGCATCACAAACATGAAAAAAGTTAACCTTCCAGCATTAGTGTTAGTTGCTTAACTACCACAACTGCCATTAATAATCAAAACAATACTCAAGACTGTTGCTCTCATCCTTTTCTCCCTAGTTACAACATTTACTTCTTGCCTATTCTAATAGATATTGGTTTAGCTTTAAGAAGCAAGCAAAACAACCAAAAATATTCTTTCCTTGAAAAGCAACAAGAGTAATATAATTTGATATTTCAAACAAAAAGTGTGAAGAAGGTAACTTGAAAATGACATTCATATGAAAAGATGCAGACAAATGCAAGACAGATATACCTCCACAGTCTGGATTCTATGAGCCTTCCAATCCACAATTCCTCCAAACTTAGAAACAGCTTCCTTGACAGATTCAAATGGAGCTGCGGTATCAATATGGCCTCTTTTTGCATCAACCTGCTTGGCATGAGCGGGTGAGTCAACTGTTCCGTCAGCAACTTCTGGAACCTCGATTTGAGGTGGATCTATCCTTAGTTCGTTGTAATGATTTTGCAAATCTTTTGTTTCAGAACTGGAAGCCAAGAGTATAATATCATTATCAACATCACTGCCAGCAGTGACATTAGTAACATCATCCTGCAATTCATGCCTGTCAGAGACATCTTCTACAACACCTGGTTCAGAATCTTCAACCAAAGTTCCCTGATGGCTTCTTTCTGTTACATCAACTGTAGCATTTGGGGTTGAAGCTGAATTTCCTATAGAAAGATACTCATCTTGTATTATAGTTTGACCATCAGAAGCATTCGATGATGCTAATTCAGATAACAAAGTCACTGGCAAATGAGTAGTGCCAGACTCCACTTCTCCATTACTAAATGTGATTGTTGGAGCTTCAGTGGAAGATTGATTATCTGGTGGGTTCATCACTTCAGTATTTCCTTCAGGGGGTTCTGCAAGGGGTGTCTTTTCAGCAATTTTCGTAGAGGACTCAGAGGGAAGCTTGTCTTCAGCATGTTCTCCCAGTGGTGTCTCTTCTGCAATTTTTGAAGTGGAGTCAGAGGGAAGCTTGTCTTCAACATCCTCCATTGCAAGGAGCAGTCCTGAGTGCTAGCAAGTGTCTAAGCTCTAAAAAAAAAGTAATAAAGAAAATCAATCAGTGAAAAATGAAAGCAAAAACAAGAGAATCACAACCTGAATAAGCTTTTCAGAGAATACAATTAGAATTAGAAATTAAAAATAACCATGTATAAGGTTCAAATTTTAAGAGGGATTGCTACACCCAAGAACAAGTCACAAATTGGGAATTGAATTCTATATATAACATTTAATTATTTATCATTTTATAATCATCATCATCTCTATTGGGCATTTGAATGAAATTGTTACAAGGTGTCAGCCAATTGCCTGAAACAATAAAAGGATGCTGTTTCCCAAGTTTTCAATGTATTGAGACTTCTTTATGTATAATTCTAATTTAACAAAATAAATTAAGCCAAAATGGACTGTATACGGTATGAAACAGAGCATTCTAAAGTTAATCATAATTTGACAGATATAGAGATCTCCTTACTAAAGCTCTATTATTTCAAGTTCCAACCACAATTAACTGCACTTATAAAGTTACTTAAGTACCTATAGTTCTTGATGATTAATCAATGAAAAAACTAGAGCCATGTAATACATGAAAGCTCACACAGGTCTTGCCTCTTCATATACATACATATTGAAATGAAATTTACCACCACAAAGACAAAAAAAAAGGCAGAATATATTGGTAAAACAAGAGATATTCATCTGAATAATAAACACAACAGAAAATAAATACCCCATATCTATATTTTGGAAGCCAGATTAAATTTTTTCTTTTTTTACAAAAAATTTAGACCTATATCTTACACCATCAATGGTGACTAACCTTTTGAAGGCAAAGACGTCAGCTTTCAATCGGTTGGTTGCAGTGAAGAAAGGGAGGTTGGCCAATTTCTAACTGGGTTCTTGAAAATTCCAATGAAAACTTATGGTAAAGTCCATTTATGGCAATTGGCAAAGCCAATATAGAAAATTTCACACGCTCTGTTTTCTTCCCTATAAGGTTCAGCCAGGCAAGTATGCAAACACGTTATATCCAGCTCCAGTTATTCATAAACAGTAACCCAAACTATGATATATATGATCATAAACAAATGGAATTGAAGATGAAGAAAAGAGATTAAGCAGTAAGCAAGTGCGTTGAAAAGGGAACATACCCACCCGATTGAGATTAGCAATAGGGAAATTGAAATTGAAAGTGAAGATGCGATAATAATGCTCTCCGGAAATTTTGAGGAGCAAAATTAAAATTAGGATCTGCAAAAATAAAAGAAGGTGGGAAACTATGCTTCTATTATTAGAAACACAGAAATATACGGTGAAAGAAAGGTGCACAGTTAGTGGAGCCTACCTCATCACATGGATTAGATTAGATCCATCTCTACGCTCACTCTCTCAATTCAAATCTTTATTTCCTTCAATAGTTAATCACATGCATCCCATTATTTATTAAAAAAACTCACAAATGCTTTCACTTCTATTACTATCAAATATAAATTTTATAAGAGTTATGTTGTAGGAAGAGTGATTGTGTAATATTATAAAGATTCGTTTTGTGTGCTGTAATTTCTTTTTTTTTTTCTTTAAAAAGTGTGAGCCCCACAAAACATTATGTGTATAGAAAAGTTTGTTGTATTATGTTAAATGACATATGTAAACCCGATAACTTATTATTATTATTATCATGGTTAACCATATATCACATGTTTCGTTTATTATTAAATTAAATATTTTGAAGATTGTGCTGAGTTAACTTAAAACTAATACACAATTTTTTTTTTTAAATATTATTCATGTATGAAATCAACTACAAGACAAAAGTTGTTTTCCGACCATCTCATGGCCCCGGAAGAGGTGGTCCAGCTTCTATTTCTCTTTGTTTATTATTTTTTATTTTTTTTTCTGGTCATGGTTTTCTATTTTACCTTTGTTTTTGCTATTCGGAAATAAACAATAATTAAAAGGTGTAATGAATAAAGTTACCGCTGATAGTAAATGATGTAGATTCGGGCATGGCGTGTAAATGCCACATGATATCCATTATGAAACACCAACACTAATAATGCACCGTTGATCATTAATAAAACAATAATTAATTTGAGTTATTTTTACTCTTCAGGAATAATAAATTGCATGATTTAATTGCATTGCATGTAACGCAAGTGGACCTCGTTGGGCCAACAGCTCAAAAGAATCCAACTCATATGAGGCGTGTTCTTATCCGTTGGATGTTGTAGTGTGGGGTCCATATCTAGTAATTGACGGAGGGAGTGAAGAGTCCATACCTGTGATTGTAACTGCGATTTTGAAGCTTCGACAAATGGAAAACAATCAGAATGAGAAGGTCGAAACGAGGAAAGGAACAAAACACCAATGTTGTTAAAAAAGGAGATTTTAAATAAAATTGAAAAGGGACTAAAAAATTGCAAAAACATAAAATTATAAAAGTATAAAAAGTGTTTGAAATATTGGTGAAATTATTTTGATGAAAAAAATCTTAAAAACATAAAATCGTTGTGATAAATCGAAATTTTAATAACCATGCAAAACACGGTTAAGATAAATTTTAATTATTTATGGTTCAAAATAAATAAATAAAATATCAAAGTTTAAATAATTTAATTGTCGAAGTTTGTTTATTTTGATTATATTATATCTTTTTTAAATTTCGCTCAATTAAAATATTAAAATTCAGAAATAAAATTTATATGAATTTAATTACTGAAAATGATTAACGTTATATTTGGACGGAAATGTTGTGAATTGATGTAATTGAATTGTTTAAAAATTAAAGTGATGTAAAATAAAGTTTTGGGTGCAGATGCTTTTTTGCTTTTATGTTCAACCAACCCCATGGTGCCACGTCCAAGGCTCCTTTGACAATAAAGTTGGGTTTAGTATCTGCGTAAACTTCGGCTTTTGCTGAAGAATCATTGTTAGGTGGGGTTTAGTATGTGATGGCTTTTTCAAAAAAGAAAAAGAAAAAAAGAAGAAGGATAGAAAAAGATTGGTTGTGGGGGAATGTTTCACAATTTATTGACTTTTATGGCTTTTGAGATTATTTATAAATTTGTCATTCTAATTCATTAAACAACACCTTACTTTTTTATTTAAGTTTTTTAAATTTATTTTTCATTTTTTAAATTAGGGATTTTTATTTCACGAAGAGGATAAATTTATATATAATGAGTTATCTTCTAACGAGAAAATCATCTAAAATAATCTTTTAATCATATCACAATTAAAACGTTATGTGTTTGTTGTGAATAATTTTGAGAAAAGAAAAATTCGTTCTAAAGATCTCTTGATAACATGTTAATTATAACTTTTTAAAATTAACTAATCTAAATATGGATAGAAGTTTATATTTCCTATATCAACTCATATATTGTCTACTACTATTAGCATATTTGGCTTGATTTTTAAAAATACAAAATCATATTTTGTGAAAAGAAATTATAAGATATAAGTTTTTTTTTTTTTGGTATAATCTGGAGGTATCCCCATTCAACCTCTTCTGGTCACATTGTCCTCGGATACGGCCCTGTAGGCTAGCCCCTCATTAAAACAGCAGGTGCATGCATTGAGTTTCGCTACCGGAAGAAGGATGAGATTAATTCTCCACTCAAAAGAGGCACATCTTTGACCCCGAAGAGATAAGTTTTTGTGTGAACCATGATTTGAGAATTTTCAAAAGCTAAATCCAAGCATGCAAAATATTTTGAATAAAAACAAAATAATTTAAAATAAGGATCATTTTGCTGCTCATTAATTATTCCAATATTAGGATGACAAGTACTGTGCTTGCATAAAGACATAATCAGATTGTCCAAGCAATTATAAACGTTTTCTAAATGCTCCATTCCCCAACGCCGGAGTCGTCATAAATTTCGGTGCATATATATAGTCAGTAATTTTCTTTTTAATAGAAGGTTCATAGGCACGGTATCACTTTAATTATTTATTTTATTGATAACTTTCATAGTCACCTTAAAATTTGAGCCTATATGCTGTTTTTTAAGGTATTTAACGTATTTCCATTAGTATTGTTATAAAATTAAGTTATTAGGTAATGCCATAATCATGAATTTCTATTTTTTTTAATTTGAATTTTTATAATCTTTCGGGATTATTTTTATTTTAACCTTATTTATGCTGCTTGTAATATTTTTTTATAAAATAATAATGAATAATTATGTATGCCCTATTGGCTATTGCCCTTTGAGAAACTACTACATTCAAATGTCTATATACTTTATCTGAATTTTGTTATTATTTACTAATATTATAAACAAAATCTAATATATATTTGAATGTTGTGTCGCGTGTTGTTCTTGTTATACAAAGATTACATGTATTTTATAACAAGGATAAATATTTATTTATTTATTTATTTTAAAAAAAGGTTGTTTCTCATTTTCTAATCTACACTTAAAGAAAGAAATTGTCCTCAAAATAGACATTATAAATCATTAGTAGCAAGAAAATATTTTTTTTGGGTACATAGATAATACTTCAAAATGAGAGGTGAAGGTGAAAAATGCATTTCATATTATTATTAACTATCATTTCAATGAGTACTGCATGCCCTACAACAATTCATATTTTTTATTTTTAGTTAGAATGAAAGAAAATATAATAAAAAACAAAGAAAGCGACGTCCTAGTTCACTTACACTGGTTAACGAATATTTAACACTTATTTTATAATATTGTTTAACCTATATTATTAGTTATTCAGGGTTGCTGAACCAATCCGTTCACCTAACCAATTCCATGGTGTCGTCGTCTCAGATTCATCATGCCCTCAACCCAATAATTTTGTTGAGTTGTTGCTCTACACGAAATTGGGAAGTGGGAACGACAGAGAGAGACCATTGATCAGACAATTAAAATCATGCAAGCGAAAGTTACGTTATTAGAAGTGATAAATCCAAGAGATGAAATAGTAAATCTGATCAATTAATGATTACACTCTTGTTGTTAAGAACTTTGGGATTTAGTACTATATATCTCAACATGCCCTCTTACACAAGAGTCCTTTGGGCTTGAAGCGTGGATTATGTACAAGTCCAGGCTCTTATACCATATAAAGAACCTTAAAATATACCACCCTAAAAGCTAGCTCAAAGGGTGAGAGTGACCAAGGCTTTATAAAGGCCACATTAGTTGCATATACAACCAACGTGACTATATATCTCAACAATCACCACCAGAATTTTCTCCTAGCAAGCACGTGATTTATTAAATTTGTTCGGCTTATAATTATAAATTCTGGAAAGTGGTTAAGCCATTGCTGTTGTTATTAAATCTGGGAGAATTGTGTGGAAATGAGCAATAGCTACCCTTTAACTCAAGCATACTCTCAAAATGGATGGATGGTAGGACCTATTCACACACAAAATAAATAAACAGGATGGAGAGGAGAGAAGAGAAGGTGCAGTGTGTAAAGGAAAGGAAAAAAAGAATGAAAATATTGAAATGTAAATCTAATGAATCAAAAGAGAGCCCAATCGTCTAGGATCGGTAATATTGATTTTCCAATGGCCATCGGGTAATCCCTTTTTACCAGCTTTCCTCCTTTCCCAGTTCAACTCAGTCCTACGTTGTTTGGTCAACCTACACAAACTCTGCAAACTCTCATCCATTGCATCGTGAAGTTTCCACCACCTACGGTGTGCCACGTCACTCGCATACACCCTCTGTTCCTCCACGTCCCAGTTACAGTCATAGTCCCTGTAACAATGCCATGGCTTCCAACCCAGATAGTGAATCGCGTAAACCTTGGGCGGCTCCGCCCCCAACAACCCGTTCTTCACACTCGCCTCCAACGTCGTATTCGCCCAGAAATTCTTCAGGAAATTAACCCTCCGAGGTAACCTGTGCCACCACACGAACACCTCGTTCAGAAACCCTTGGTCCCCACCGTTGTACGAAACGATGTCGTTTCGGTGGCTCATCAATATGCCGAACGTGCAGTTCGACGGTTCGATCACCATTATGCCAGAGTTGAAGATCGATTGGTCGTTACCCGTCGCCGATATTTGCGGGAAGTGGAAGAGGATGTCCAGTTTACGAAGGACGATGATGTCGGAGTCGATGAAGATGATTCTGTCGTAGTCCGTCAGTTGCCATAGCCTGAACTTGCTGTAGTTGTATTCGTTGTAGCTGCCTTTCTCTGCTTTCGGGTTTCGGATCCGGTTTATGATTCGGATCTTCCAGCCCGCATCCGCCAGGGCCTGCCGTTTGGGAACAGAGATAGACTTGTCTATGAGCAGGATAAGGTCGCGTTGGGTCCCTGTTTGGACGAGGCTTTGTGCGAGTGTTATTGCACCACAAACATAGGCTTCTGAGGAGTGCAGGACCGTGGCGTATGCCTCGCGTTTGATTCTCCCTCTGCTTGTCACGCTTTTCTCAATCTTGGACAAATCGTACACCTCGTCAATTCCTGCATATCAATTCAACATTCAACTTTGTTATTAGAAAATGAAAATAAAATTTAAAAAATAAAAAAACAGTTTATTAAAATGTATATTTTTATTTCAATCAAGATTTTCACCAGTTGGTGAAACTTGAAAGCAAACTGCTAACTAACTTTGAAAAGTATATTTATCCGTTTGTGATTTGTCTCCATCTCGCCTACAGTCCCGCAGGGAGAAGATACATGATCATAAAGATACAATCGATGGGGTGTCATGATATTGTTATGCCTTTAAAAAAAATGTCACAGTTAAAGAAAAAATAAAAAAAATATGGTATGGTAAACAGAAAGCTAGTAGTTTAATTTTAAGCGATGGGGGAACAGGCCAGTGCTTGTAGGCTTGTAACTCAGTGGATAGAGCGTGGTCCCTACCTGTTCTACCTGCGAACGTTTTGACTGTTTTTAATGCATGATTATTTTGCTGGGATGAAGGAAAACCAGGTAGGAGGAAAAGAAAACAAATGAATACATAATGTTGAAGGCAATGCTATTCAAATACCTTGTTCCCAGAGAGGCAAGGCCAACTTGCAGGACCCAACAGGCAATGAAACCTTGTGTTCTAACCTCGTAAAATCAGGTTCATAATACCACCAATCACCTTCCCGCCTAACCAAGTGGTCGCATGGAAACAGCTCCAGCATTGGTCTACACTTGCTGAACAAAACCACTCTTGTCTTCCATTTCCAATTCCTCTTCCCATTCTTCACGGCTAGATTTGCCACAATAAGATGAACTTGCAACCGAAAAACGTCCCTCCCCCACCCCTCTTCAGGATACTTGCATGGCAGCTTAGCCACGATCACGTCCATGCTTCCATAGTCTGCATACTCTGGCATAGGTATCTCCGGGCATGACGGCACGTCACTCTCTTCCTCCTCGTCTATCCATTCAGGAAACAAGTCGGTCCAATTGAAAAACTGTGAGACCCTCTCAAAATGAACTGGTATTGTTTCTCCATGCGAGCTCCATTCACTGACATCGTCTTCATTCATGTTCACCATTCCGATCTTCATTCCTTTCCCCAACTCGCGAAAGAAGCCAGGTACCTCTATCTTAATTGCACTCTTATTTTGCTTCTCTGATTTCGCTTGAGGTTCCTCCAATACTGCTTTCATTTTGAAGCTTTTTTCTGCCTAAATGTTTTAAGATCAAACAGAACAATGGGTGATCATAAGACATGCTTCATATGATGTAATGAAGCACAGATACACAAAAGGGAAAAAGAAAGGTACGACGCCACAAAAGTAGGCTCACCTTACCTTGTGATGACATTCGCGCAAGGAGCACCTCACAAGGGAAGCTGCATTCTCAAAATAGACGGAAGAAGATGGACGGAGAAGAAGGGTTGCATAAACAACCAGAAAGACAAGAAGGAAGACCAAATTGATTCTGGTAACCAAAGCTTTAGATGGTACCGTCTTCAACATCTTTTCAAGACTCGAACCTTGCATCGCTTGAGCAGTATTCTTATGAAGGTGAGGGAGGACTGAGGATTACATTATATATCTAGACGAACACCCCACTCGTCAATTTAGATACGAATTATGTAGTAGTTAAATATCATGAATAGAATATGGAGCAAGGATTGGAAGCGGTAGTTGGAGAATTAGAGTAAATCTTACATCAAGGCAGACCACATATATAGCTCCATGTGTCCTTTCCTCGCTGCTTTCATTGTATTTCCTTTCGAGTGAGACAAAAGAGATTGAACAGAACTGCATTACTTATATTTCAGGCGACGGTCAACTAAAACTTCTAGACAAAATAGAAAATTACCTATATATCATTTTGTTTCTTTAGTTGCTTAATCAGTTCAGAACTACAGGGAGGGATACAGTAGTCAAAACACTAAGTCCATTAACATTAACTGCCTGGGACTGAGAAAATATAAAATGGGAAACGTACAAGAACAGGTAAGCAGGCTCCACCAACCATTCGGTTGCACTGTCAACCTCTTACATGCAAAAAAATATTGCTATCATTTGTTCATCAATTGTGAGGCTCCACCAATTCTTGATAGTTGATATCTAATGAAAAACTCGTTTCGCTTACCCTGTTCATAACGGATATAAAATGTGTTTGCAGGTTGAACGTCCCGCACATCATTCGTCCCTAAAAAATTATTTCAGGGCAAGTTTTGCACGGCTACATCCCAAGAGATGGTAAACTATCACATTTTTGTCCCCGCATCCTGCCATGATTAGACTAACTAAGTGTGGGGACAATATATGAGACCAATGAGATGCTGACCATTTCATTCATACAATGAAATGAAGCGCGGCAGTAGGTCGACTATGTCTATTGTACGACCGTAGCAAATCATTCTCTTCAGGTGGTGAATCAATCCATATGTCCCACAAACAACAAAAAGGGTGATGAATCAATTATGACAATCCTCCTTCAACCCCGTACCCCCGAGGCCTGCCCAGCCATCCCCATCAAAAGAAAGAAAAAATAATCTAGATAACAAATGTAAATGAAGACCATTCTCTCCCCTGAACTCAAAAAAGTAGAATTCAAGGAGTAGCATTACAGCTAGTGCCAAAATAAGCAAAGAGTACATGTATGAATAGGAACACCTCTCACACATTTAGTATTTAATACACTCAACAATGGTGGTTCCATCGACCTCTTAAATGAAGGACGTTAGTTGTTATGTCCTCTCAGAATCACATATACCTTATATCCACTGGGAATCTTTAAAGCAGTATCGGCATCAGAAGGAGTTTCTATTGAGAAGACAAGAAGGAAGAACACTACTATTTGGAAGAAAGAGGTCCTGTCATCTCACCAGCTGACTAGAAAGTTACAACTATATCATCCAATTTGCTCAAGAAAACCACATAAAAACTATGGTTAGCTTAAGTTTGCATCCGGATTAATTTCTTGTATGTGTTGAGAGTGACTTTTCCCTGGTGGAATAAAAATCAAATCCTCCCATCCTGAACTCGTTTCACTCATCTGTATCATGGGAGAGAGAACTCATCAGAATTCAAACTACTTCCCAGCTTATAAGCTATTAACCTGTAAGCAGACTTAACTACCTCCATTTTTCTCAGTACATCTTCGAAGCTGCCAACCTGTTCATTTAATTTTATTTAAAAAAAGAAAAGAAAATAAACAAATTATAAATCACAAATACTTAAAACAAATCTACTCTAGCATGTAACTTAATTTATCATTTAAAAAACTCTCACAACACTAGTAGCAGAATATCTAGATTGATATTAGTACACGAGGACCATGTGATTAGTTAAATCCACACACACACAATTTAAAAATCTACTTCCTGTTCTTTTAAGAAAACACAAGTTTCTCACTTGTCCCCTAACCTTTTCCATGGACAACAGATTAAAAGAGTTTATCCACGAACTAAACTCCCACAAGGAGTTTTAGATTGCTATTTTCACATTGGAATCATCCATTGAAAAGATTTTTTTTTACCATGAAAACTGAAAGAACGTCAACAAAAATCAAATCATTTATAGAACTAAAACTAATTATTCCATCAAGATAATTGTTTTCAAGGGCATATAGTTTTGTTCAAAAGCAAAATTTAAATAACATGAGCACTTTTTAACTCAATAATTGCCTTAAAAGGAATTGACAGCATCGCTATCAGGAATAATATAGTACACAGACCACTAATTCAACCAACTGTTCCGCAAGTTTTCAAGTTAATCCTACAGGTGGTTACACATTAATTTTATTCACGATGAGTCTTGCACAAAAGAAGGGCAACACAAAATCAGCTTTTCAGGGGTTAAATAAAATATGCTGTCGCCTGTGATGACTAAAAACATTGTGAAACTAGTAAGCAGCTCTGAGTCTCTGACAAATACTCGAAATGTCCAAAGTACAAGAATTAAAATAAAGAACGATTATGAAACTTGCTTCCAAGTTTCTAACAGAGACTAGCAAAAACCAAAAGCCAGAGATGGCAGATTCTATACCATTATATGCTGAGAAACTCCAGGTCCTCTGGATGCTCTGGAAATCTTGGATAGCTCCTGCTCAATATCTTCCTGTCCATTTAACCAGCAACTACTATTTAATAATATTCTATAAAGCAACATGCCTTTTGATGTCTTAATAGTGTAAATGAAACGACGAGGAGATCAATAGGTCAGACAAACCTTAGAGAAATATACAGGGCAGTAACGCTTATTCTTCTTCTTCACAACCAAAAGGTCTGACTGTAAGCATATATGATTATTAGTCAATAACACTCATTAGTCAAAGAAAGAACAACAATCAAGGACTACCAATCCACCACAGATTTCAATTAGACTACTGATGGTGCAATACTAATATGGTTAAATGGTCTGTCAGCCAGTCTCAAATATTTATATATCATATGCCACATATCAGCTGCACTAAACTAGTTGACAGTTAGTTCAGTGAAAATAAAATTTACTGAAGTCTGCATAGGTACTATACTCCCCTTGCAATAGTGATAAATACATTAAATAAAAGACAAGCTTATACCATTTTGTAATTACTACCCACACCCCATCATTACCCAAAAAGTCCTCTCAATGACTGAATTTTACCAAGAAATAGGAAAAATTGAAAACATACCTGAAAAACGGGAACTCCATCAAAACCTCCCTTATTGGCTGGTCTGAGCTGATAAACACGAAGTGAAAACGATATTAAACACATCTAACAGGTCAGTGGTTCACCTGACATATATGCTTCATGGTTATGAGCAATTGAGTTTAAATTGATGTTACAGAACTAATTCCGACACTGCAGCTACCATGTATATTGTCAAAGCTTCCATCCCCCATTATTTATATTTCACACTGATCAGGCTTAACTCATACAATACTGTCACTGCTATCGAGCTCAAATGATGAAAAATTCTGGGGTGGCTCAAAGTGACATATTGTGCACAAGAATTATAATAGATGCTAACCTGCAAAGCATTCTTTATTTGAATTGGATCGGGTAAAAATCGGAATGAAATGCCTTCAACCTTCAACATATATACCTATACCACAAGAGTAATAGTCATATGTAAAAGGTACAGGATAAACATCATAGTTAACGTTCTTAAAAAATTATCCAGTTGCAGTCAATGGCATGTACTTCCTGACTAAGAAGCGGAAAGGTGGATCATAAGATTCAAGGTTGTAAAGCCCCAAAGGGTAAAAAAATCATTTCAGATTGTTTCACTTTTATCAAGCCTCAAAATTAAATAGGAACTTAATTCTTTGACAAATAATTGTTCCTATTATTTTGAATTAATGAATTCCTAAGTGGCTATCAAAATGATAGAAGCCAAGCCACAACTCTATTGAGTGTCAATTGATAGATAAGGTTCGACATTGAGAAAAGAATCAAAATAAGATATATACAAATCAAATAACAATATATATGCAGTTAAGAAATGGAAGAAGACCTGGTCAAGAGTTAAGGGGACAACCCTAGCATTGCTTCGAAGTTCTCTTTTCCGTGATCGAACCTAAAACGAGGACCAATGAATTAAATAAAGAGAATGAAAATAATGGAAATAGCAATTAGAAGAATGGAGAGTGGGAAACAGAACAAACTTGAGCAAGGAAGGCTTCGGCGTCCTCTTGGCGAAAACAAAGCAATCCAATGGACTTGGCTCCGTCGGCATCAGAGATAAGAACAAACTCGTTGTTGGAATTGCTGACGGTGTAAACAGAAGTGCCGGCAAGGGACTTAGCCACGTGCTGGGAACTCAATGTAGCGGCAAGGGCATGTTTGGGGTGAGCCAATGAAAATAGGGGATGAGCTTGAGCTTGAGCTAGGGTTCCCACAACTCGCTTCGTGTCCTCCAATCGAGTTGCAATATCAGTCCCTAAACGGACGCAGTGTTGATGAATGAACCTCGAAAATGATAGAAGCGGGTTCACCTGTCCGCACCACCCCATCTTCACTTGTAATCAAAACACACGTCGCTCCCTATAAATATCGATTTGGGATGCGGTTCTTGTATTTTAATTTTAATAATGGGTTAATCACCTATTTCGTTTTGGCCCATCAATGAAATACTACTCCAGAGTTCGTGGGCCTGTAGAGTGTAGACCAGTCTTCTTCCTTGTTTTATTTCCCCTCGTTTTTTTGTTTTTTTTTTAAACGATTTTATGTGTTCAACAAGTCATTAAACATGAAAACTAAAAAAAAAAAAAACTCTAATGAAGAGATTATTGTTTATGTCATAACATATCCTATAACTAGAATTATTGTATCAGAAAATCAAATGTTAAATTGTTAAGGCGAACTTCTTATATATTTTATTAATTATATATCATGTCATACCCTCTCCCCTTATTATTGAATGTTTAGCTACAAGCTTATAAAAGCATAAGACATTATGCGTGTTATAACTTATAACTATTCTAAAGCTTATGAAAGCATAAAACAATATGCACGTTGCAACTATTGTAAATCTAAATGCTTATATGTATAAGGATTTAAAAATAACTTTTTAGGACGCTGGATATATAGATTTAAAAATATTGATAAATTATATTTGTGAAAAGATTAAAAGATTTAAATGATTTATTCTCTTATCACTTATCCTGTATATTTTATTAATTTTTATGGGAGTAAAATAGACATATTAATTCATATTTTAATGTTAGTAATGTTGTAGATGGATGAAAAAATATATAAAATAAGTAAGTGATAAAAGGATTAATCACGAAAATTTAATTAAATTTTTCTTTAAAAATATTTTTTTTAAATATTTATAATTTTCTAATATCAATCAAACTTATTAAATAATATGGTAACATATTATTATATAAAATTTTGTCATACTCAATATATTAAAAATAAATTTTAAATTAAAATTGCTAATTTTAATCTTTTGAATAGTACTAGGGCCGGTTTGGACGGGTTTCCAAAAAAAGTGCTTTTTATTTTATAAATATTTTTTAGAAAAGCTAAAGTTATTTAGATTTTTTTCAAAATATTTCGTTTTTGAAAAAAATATTTAATTTTTGACTTCTGATTATTTCAGAAGAGCATACACATAACACACACATTAAGTGAAGTGAAGGTAAATTTCAACTTAAATCTCAAACCAGAACTTCCAAACGAAATACATTTAATATTAACAAAAGCACCACATCTAACCTTCAACTGTATCAAAAAAAAATTCAATTTTTTTTTTGAGAGATGGAAGCAGCCGCCCACCCTAGCCTGGTGATAATAAAATTCAAAGAATTTAGCTGAAGTTTTTTCAAAAAACAAGAACGTGTAATGCATGTTTAAGGTGGACATAGCTCTTTTGTAAAATGTTCATGCATGCTTCACAGAATACAAATTACTTTTGCCGCGCATGGTATATGGGAAAGTATTCCATTCCTAATCGTTCAACGTTGGTGTCTATAATATATTGTAAACAATGCAATCTTTAATTTCTTATACGAGATAACTTCGTCTTTTCCTTTCATTAGTATTTGTATAAATAACTTGTTTATTTTATTCATTTCAATTTCGCCTTTAACTTGGCAGACTCTTAAAGCCTAAAATAGTCTTAAAGCTCGACATTTAGGGAGTGTTTGATAGAGGAGAAATTTTTTTTATCCGAAAATCTCAATTTTCAAAAATATAAATTTTACATTCAGTTTACGATAATATCTGAAAATTAAAAATTTAAAAAAATTCAATTTTTCAAAAATCTCCAAAAATCCTGCATACCAAACGGGCTCTTAAGATTCCACATGATTTTCTTTTCCCACCGCGTGCCTATTGGAAAGGACCAAATGATTTTTATCGTTATATTATGTACCAACTAGTAAAGAGAATAAGCACAACATCATTTATGCTAATATAGTACATTTAAAAAAATGAGAGAGTAGTATGTACTAAAAAAAAAAATGAGAGAGAGGGAGGGAAAGGTTAATAACGCACAATAGCACCCACATTGTTTAATTGAAATAAGAATTAATGGAAATCTATATAATATTAGGAAAAAATATATATCATTTTAAATGACACAAAATTGTGTCATTTTAAGTAAGAGAAATAGTTAAATCATGAAAAAGAAAATGAAAAGAGTTTTTTTAAAAAAAAATGTGAATCACACATTTTTGTAAGAATGAAATGATGTAAAGTGTCGATGTTGTGTTTATACAATGTTCGGCCGTCCATTTTAGATATATAGATCCATCCTGCAAGCAGCAAAATAGCAAGGGATACGATTCTTATTCTTCCACAATGGATGCAATTGCAAATTTATTTATCGATATACTCAAATAAATAATTATAAGTATTGGTGCATTAACAAAATACGAACATATATAAATATACCCAAGCTTGGAAGCTGAATGAGAACAAGACATAACGCAAATAGGTTATACGTAGAGAGTGATTCAATATCACTAACAGTGAAGGGGGCAAGGGTATGGCGTTCAAGGAGCATAATGTGTCGAGTGATGGGAAGCGTGTGATGACGGTGGAGCAGTTTAAGCGGTGGTTGAAGACATCATTTGACGCTAACGGAGATGGACGAATCAGCAAAGCCGAACTGCGCCATGCTGTCCGCCTCACCGGAGGGCTGTTTGCCTCCTGGAATAGTGGCCAAGCCTTCAAGTCAGCAGACGCCGACAACAACGGTTTCATAGATGAAAACGAATTCAGAAACCTTGCCCACTATGCAGACAAGCATTTCCATGTCAGAATCACACACTAGTTTTCACTTCTTCTCAAACTTGTTATTCAAATTGTATTTATTCTCAAATAAATAAGGAAAAAGTGTACAAGTTTTAAAGGACAAGGACTTGAGTTCTTTTAAGAGAAATAAACACAAAAAGAGGTGGATACACACTTTTACTTTTTTATCTTTATTTATTTTTCAATAAAACTCAAATCTCTTTGTATCTAGGGCTGGGCTGGGCTGGGCTTTGGTCATCCTGGCCCAAGCTTACGTCAAAAAAAAATCAGCTTATCTGATCTACTGGCCTATTAAAGGTTTTATTTGTAGGTCAAGCCCAACTCATTTTCAAAAATAAGAAAGCCTGACATGGCCTACAGACCTTGTAGGCCTCCCACGATATATACTAAGCAAAAAAAATAATTGTATAGAGTAAAGAAAGTTTCATTCATGCATGCACTAGTACTTCTCATAAGAAAAAAATGACAAGCAAGAAAGAGTCAACATAATACCTCAGCTCTAAAATGTATATCATAGAGGAATTGAGTCAAAGAAATGGGAAAAATAAGAAAAATACAATTACTGGATACTGAAATAAAGTCTACAAGAGAATGTCATTCATCTAAAAATCTTTAAACGACCATCAAGACAAGGGAAAGAAGAGTATTATTGAAAGATCTTCATCAGTAACATCATAATCCAGCAAGGTACCCATTGCTCCATGGTATTAAGCTGCAACAGCATGTAAAATTTGGAGACATTAGACAAGTTTTCCTTTCATAAAATAAAATAGCACAAAAAGTAAGAGATATTAGTATTTGGTACTTTGTGTCTTTGCCACATAAAATAAATATTATTTTATTATTTTATTTTAATAAATTAAATAGGCCAGCCTACAAGACTGTAGGCCGGGCTTGACAAAATTGGCCTACGGCTTATTTATTAAAAAAGTTTTTTTTATAAGCTTAAGTCTACTCTACTTTTCTGAAAGGCCGGACCTGGGCTGGGCTCAATGTAGGCCGGGCTGGGCCAGCCTGGCCCATTTACACCCCTATTTGTATCTATATCTCTTAAAAGTATATCAATTTGTGTCTTTAAAAGAAGGAAAATATTACTCTCATTTTCATTTTATATGAGATAATTATCTCATTTTGTCTTCCTTTAAAAATCACACTCCTTCTTTTTTCTTTTTTACTTTTTAATGGTGGACCCCACTTCAATTCTCTGTGTAGCATGAAAGAACTACTCTCGTGCAACAAATATTCCCCTTAAAAGAATACCTAACTCCTTGCTTTGAATTGATTTATTGACTCGCTTCCGTACTTAATCCGAATTAACACAGTGACAACCAGCAAAGTTAACAAATTTTACATTTATAAATCTCAATAAAATTTGGTAATCATTTTATTATGATAGGCTAAACAATCCAAATTTAAATTCTAAGGGTGTATTGGATAAGGATTTCAAAGGATTTTAATGGATTGTTTTTGGACAAAAAATTATGTAGGTATTCGATTAAAATTTTAATGGATTGAAAAAAAGTCACGTGTTATTCGATAAGGATTTTAAAAGATTATTTTAGAATCCGTCCAAATCCGTTGGTATTCAATCAGGACTTTAAACAATGGAATCACAATCTCGTGGTATTCAAAAATCTGGCGATTTTAATGGATTTTCTATTAGTGTGGATTTCGTGAGACTTTTTAGTGAAAAATATAAATAGGATGCTTCTCTCACAATCTCACCCTAACCCCTAGGATTTCTTGAGATTCTTCTATTGCATTGTTTTCTTCTTCCTTTGACAGGTTGACTACTCGAAATTGGCTTCCGTCATGGGAGCTTCATCAAAACTAAAAAAAAAAGCATATTTTTAAGCGATTTTCATCACAAAACAATCCAAACACAACAAACCAATGAGATTTTGATATAATCTATCTCAAAAATAACATAATTTTGAGCCATTTTTGAGAAATTTTGAAAGTTTAAAGAGTGATTTTTCAAGATATGGGTCGCAGTTTTTCTTGGCATAAAAACATGTGATTTTTCTAAACTTTCATGTAATTAAACCCAAAATTCCAGATTCAAATTTTTCTTAGAATATTCAATGAAAATATGCATATGATATATGGTTAGAAAACTTTCATCACGTAAAACAAAAACCCCAAAGTTTTCAAGATCAATTGCAAAAAATTCCAAACGAAATTTTATCATGAACTTTAGGTTCTATATGCAAATTTAGAATTATTTTTATAACTAAAAAAATTGGGTCTTATAATCATATATGCATAATTTTGATACCAAATGAAGAAGATAATTTTCAACCCATTAGACATGTGAAAAAGTTGTTGTTTAGTAATCTTGAATGTTTGTTAAAAATTATATTATGTTTTACTTATTGAAAAAAGGGTTTGTTTTTTCTGATGTTACTTTAGATAACTTTATATAATGTTCATCAAAACGACATCGTTTTGGGATAGAAATCATTGTATTTTTGTAATTTTAATTTATTTCAGGGTTATAATAGTCTTTATCACTCTAAATTTTTAATTTTTCAACTCCAAAACAACGTCGTTTCGATGAACATTAGATAAAGTTATCTAAAGTAACATCGGAAACTTTTTTCCCTTGAAAAAATTATATTAGGTTTTACTTTTTTTTTATTAATTTCATTGCATTTCTTTGTTATTTTTTTATGGAAAATATTATACTTACAACCTATTTTTGTTTATAACCTTTTACAACTATATCTTAACTGTTGATTTTCGTCAATCAATGGTTATTATTTTCGCAAATCAAACTCATTAATTAATATTTAATTTGGAAGTTAACCGTTGATATATGGTTATTATTTTCGCAAATCAAACTCAAACTCATTGAGAAAATTATATCAGATTTTATTGATATGTGGAGAGTTGTTGCTTAGTAATTTTTGAGATAATTTTCAATCCGTTGTTAAGTTTACTTTTTTTTTTGGTAATCAAGTTTACTTTTTTTATTATTAATATCATTGCATTTCTTTGTTATTTGTTTTTATTGACTCTTGTAATTTTGAATATTTCTGTTAAAAATTCATATAGTTTTTTAAAATTTTATAAATCCATATTATCCTTTCAAATCTTATGAATTCTATTAAAATCCTTTAAAATCAAATCCTTTAAAATCTTGATTGTAAAAAAAGTCTTTTAAAAAAGTCTATAAAGTCTCTCTAATTCTAAAATGTCTTTTAAAATCTGTAGAATTTTTTATCTCAAAAAAGTCTTTTAAAATCCTAATCCAATACACCCCTTAAGGTACATTGCTTTTATAATGATTTATTTGTATTTTGATAATATTTTATAGCATTTTTTTTAATTGTTAGTTATAGACGTGTATGGTGATTATAAATTTTTTTGGATACGTTTAAAATTATACATGTATGCTTGTATTATTAAATTATAATGTCACCTAATTGACTAATTCGATTATTAATATAACTAACTGAATTGATTGGCCACAGATCTGATAACTTTTTTTAGGTAATTCACTAGTCGATGCATGAAGGATTGGAACGCATAAAAATAAAAAGAAATGAAGAACGAAAACGAGCATAAACTTATTTCTACATGCTAGAAAAATGAAACTGAAGAGGAGTCCTTCAAGTACACGTAATAACATACATACAGTCAAGCAATCAAATGAAAAGGACTTAACTATGCACTAAATCTACAATCCAGAAATGACGTCAAATGCGTGTGATTCCATGACTTCAGTGGTAAGTGGTAATGGGTTCACATTAAAGTAACCAAGGGCAAAAATGGATCTGATCTCACAGCATCAAACAGGAAAGTTCCATCCTGCTGTTTCATAAGAACTCCATCCACCAAATTATGGATTCCAATAAAACAATCCACCAGTAAATGTTGTTGGCTGTTCTCATTGAGGTCAGATAATATCACCTCACCTAACAAAATGAAGTAGCATTACAATTGCACATACAGCGGCCCAAATACACACACCGTCATAGCATACGATAATGCTCTAATTTTTTATGAAGAGGTCCAAGACAGTAGAAGTTTAGAACTCGGACTTGCTATCATCTGTAATGTCCGAGTTCTAACTTCTGTTGCATAGCTTCTTCAAGATTAGTCACATTAATAATATCTTCCATACCCCCAGTTCCAGTAGGAATATTGAAACGATTATCTTAGAAAAGTATAAAGACATTTCCCTAAGAAAATTATGATTGAAAGAAAGGAACACTCGAGTTAAAAAACCCATTAAAAAAATATCAAGTATTTAATAACTAAAACTAAATTGTGGAGTCTGAACAGATTATTAGGAGCTGAAAATAAATTTACCCATATAATTCTAGGAGCAGCACAGCTTGCACCCATCCATATCCAGATCAAGATAATTGAGGCTTTCAAATATCTATACCAAAAGGGGATAGCTTCCAGTAATTCCAAGAATTGAAATCCTCCTGTAACCAATGTTCAGCAAGAAAAGGGTAAAAAGTAGGTTAATAAAGTTGCATCACAAACATATCCCATAGTATCAAACTTATATTCAAAGCATAATAATGTAACCAGTATTTATATCACACACCAGACAAATATAAAAAGATCCACCCCAGTTCTCTCTCACAACCAGCATGCTTTACTTTGAAATTTAAATACTAGGAAGACTCCAATTAAATATGAGGAACACAATCCCCAAGACTGACACTATGAAGAAGAAAATAAAAACCTGCTCAGAAGAGTTCGCAAGGGGGAACATTCCATTCACCAGAGCATGCAGAGAAGTATATGATTTTGTGTCAAGACAACGGTTTACAGCAATCTCTCCCTGCAAACTTAAAAATAAGAAGGGGTTGACAAACTCAAACATTTCAGGAACTTAAAGCGATTTTTTATTTTTAAAAAATAAGAAGGATTTATTTACCTTGGGATTGATTATGAAGATTTTTCCTTTAGGGATTCCAACCTTAAGGTAGCTGATTTCGTCAGTATCCCTATTTCCAAAACCAGCATAAAATGGATTGCAATCAGAAGGAAAAAGAGCCTTGATGTCCTGGAGACATTAAAATTCAAGTTAACTTTAATAACACAATGACCATGGTGAAAAATATTAAAACTATGTCAATTTTAATATGTGGCAGTAGGAAACTAACCTCCAAGCATGCAATTTTGAATTCATGAGGAACCCTCCTAATGACTGGAAATAGGGGGGAAAAGTGCCTTAGTCCAAAATAATACAAAGGCAAGACCAGGGCATTCCAAACTCAGCCTTGATGAATCTCATATTCTCATTTATACATTAAATTAAATGACCAATGAACTAAGAAAATATCAAAATAATTAATATACTATGTCCTACATATATTGACCACACCGCCACATGGTGGTGTTTTATATGATCTATAATTCAAAGATCAAAACCCATGCCATAAAAAAATTACAAAGTTAGTCATTTAAGAATCCTTCTCACAAACATGGCCTGCACGGGAAGTATCTTAATGTGAAACGTGATGTGCATTAAAGGAACACTAGAAGTCAAATGGGCTTGGCATCTCTGGATACCAATGAATCCACCAATTCTGCTAAGAATTCGGTCCTTTTCATGAGGTCGAAAACATGTCTACTTAGTGTAACCGGATTTCTTACAATGATTACACCATCATATCACTTTATTAGGTTTAGAAGAAGTGGAGGTGCAGGTAGGGGTGTGAAAAACCCCCTTCAAGAACTGAACCACTTTGTCCGGACCGGTTTGAGAACCAAATTCGGTTCTTTTTTCATAGCTACTAGCATTTTTATCTTTTAATTTATCCCCCCCCCCCTTTCTTTTAAAGCCGGTTCAGAACCAAAACCGATTCTAAACCGGTTTGGAACCAAAACCGGTTCTGTTTGACATAGAAAACCAAACTGAACCAAACCGTGCTAATCCTTAGGTGCATCGAACGGTGTGTGAGAGTGTTGGGAAGGGCGATCAGAGTTAGGTCTTTGGTGGTTGGACAAAAGAAGGACTAGTTTGATAACAGACGGTGGTGGCTATGGCAGTATGAGTTGCCGAAAAGGGAATAAAAGCGTGATGAAGGAACAAAACAAAAGGGCAAATTGGCCACAATGAAGGCACTTTTTAAAGGAAGGAGGATGATGGGCCATGGGCCTAAAAGTTATGGAAACTATTCTAGAATATTCCTTAAGTATAGGATAAAAGGTAGGCAATGTGGGGAGTGTGGGTATGCATGAATTCAATACTGGTTTAGTGGGAAAATTAGGAGACCTCTAGAGAATTCTTGAGCCTAGGTATTTGGTTTGAGGGGAAGTTGAGGCTTTCTGGGTTTATTTTCTGCACTTTGTCTTTGTAAGGAGCTTGGCTCCATTTATGTTTTCATCATTTTTAGTTTTATAAAAATAGGTTCCATCAATTTGGTATCAGAGCATCTTCGATCCCGGAGGTGCTTTCTGGTCCAGATTTAAAAAAAAGAGAAAAAGAAGTACAGATTTACAATGGTTCAAAAATTCTATGGAGACGGAGGAGATAACGAGGCTTGGGGATGGCTAATCAATTCGGAACAATTTTTCCAAATCGAAGGAATTAATGAAGATCAGAAATACATTGAAGCTGTGAGAGGGCTCAGAGGGAGTGCATTCAACTAGTATCAAGGTTGAAAATGGTTCAATCTTACTGCAAGCTAGAGGAACTTTGAGAAGGCATTCATAGAGAGATATATACGTGAGATCTGTTCGGTAGAGGAGGATGAAGAACAACAGAAAGAAGAGGAAAAAGGAAAAAAAAGATGAAATCGAACCAGAAAAAGAAAAAAGAAAACCAGAAAAAGAAAAAGAAATTGAAGTGGACAAAATCGAAGTAGGAGTGGATGTCAATGACGTTGCAAAAAGAAAAAAAAGGATGATATAGAAGAAGAGACGGAAGAAAATGAAACAAGAGGAATAGAAAAAACACAAGAGGCGAAGGAAGAAAGAAACGAAGAAAAACAAATCAGCGAAGTAGAAGACAAAAAACCAGCAACAGGCGAAGAAGATGAAGAATCGCACGAAGAAGAAATATCAGATGTTGAAGAAGAAGACGAAGTCAGATCTGATACAGGGAGACGATGTGTGAACAAATCTAGAACCAGCAGGGAGACTGGGCGCGAACAGTGGCAACGACCACGTACGGTGACGGGGGCGGCGGCACAAGGAGCTCAGGCCATCAGCTTTGCTGCTCACCGGAGAAGATCGATGAGAAAGACATACTGCTGGTCGGACGTGCTTGACCGGGGACGCACAAGAAGCGGGTCTAGATCTGGAGGTGGGTATTTGGGCCGACCCACACTAGGAAATAAGGACAACAAAAGTGGACTCAGCATGGCCCCTGGGTTTGGTCTAAATGGCCCTAATTTGAGAGGCCAACGTGGTAGCAACTTGAAACCAAACCTGCTTGGTCCAGCACTTCCCAACAAGGCTGTTGGTGGGGAGAATACAAAAAACAGGCCCAATGTTTCCAACACAAAAGCACAAAAAGAGCCAGTTGGTTTGGGCCCAATTCGTCCAACACAAACTAGTATCCATACTAGTGAGGTGGGGTCTTTAGGAACCCAACGAGGCAATAGTGCAAGGATGAGCCAAGGAAGTGGAGGCATTCTAGCCAACAAAAAAACCAAAGCTGCTGGAGTATGGAGAGTATCAAGGTTCAGGTATATGTTGCTGGAGTTTAATAACCAGAGACGCATGAATTTACTCTTCAAGAGCAATGCTCATTTTAAAAAGAAATGCTGCGGTGAAGACATGGAGGTTCGTGGAAAGAAAATGGAATTAAAGCTACCAATGTGGTCAAGGTGCTTCAAACAATGGGATCCAGGTGGTTGTTTTCTCACATCATCTACTCTCTTCCTCACCTTGAGGACAAGGTGAATTTTGGAGGGGGAGTGTTGATGGGCCATGGACCTAAAAGTTAGTGAATTAGTTTGTTATGGAAATCTATGAAGCACCGACACTTCAAAAATCCCGACGTGTCGTGTCCGACACTTCTCGACACTCCAATACTCGTTGTAATGAGTCAAAAAAGGTTCAAATGTTACTTTGCATTGCATTTTGAGTTCCCACTATTAGATTTGTTAGATTACGATTACAATTTTATTGAGTCTAATATAATCATTTGGGATATATTATGTTTCTTTACAAAATTGAAGGGTATTATAAGTTTAGCTTTATTTTTTTGTTAAATTATTGAATACTATATATAGTATACACTACATAAATTAAAAATATTATATAATATCAAAACGTGTCCTAACGTGTCGAAATTTAACATTTTTTAGAATTAACGTGTCGAAGTGTCGTGTCGTATCCCGTATCTCGTGTCAGTGTCGGTGCATAGATGGAAACTATTATAGAATACTCCTTAAGTATAGAATAAAAGGTAGGCAATGTGGGGAGTGTGGGTATGCATGAATTCAATACTGGTTTAGTGGAAAAATTGGGAGACCTCTAGGGAACTCTTGAGTCTAGGTATTTGGTTTGAGGGGGAGTTGAGGCTTTTTGGGTTTATTTTCTGCACTTTATCTTTGTAAGGAGCTTGGCTCCATTTATGTTTTCATCATTTTCAGTTTTATAAAAATAGGTTCCATCAGAGGATCCTCAGGATTGAGAGTACCAATTTGAAATTTGGAATTCTTTGTTTTTTTTTAGAATTTTGAATATTATTGATAGATTTTGTTTATTTTTTGTAAATAAGTAGGGCCTGAAGCCCAATAAGAGAGGAATTTAAACTACCAACGATAACTGATCACTCCTATTTCTATTGTCAGCATCAAGAAGGGTCTGAAGCCCCAACGGGGGATCGTGGAAAAGATGAAAACCACTACCAGCAGAAATTGTATACCTCGCAAGCCAATGGGCACAAGCATTGTTCTCTCGATTATTCAGGTATAGAGTGTACCGTACATAGGTGGATATGAGTAATTATTTTTCCTAATAAAGAGTTAAATCTAGGGAAATAAATATGAAATAAATCTGCCCCATAATCTATAACAAATCTATCTTACAATCTATACTATCATAATCACTCTTATATAAGAATTTTTTTTTACAATAATTACATAATTATTCTTTCTATATTTATAATAGATACTTTATCATGCACACTTGCATGTTCTATGAAAAGTATCTACAAGAAAGTTAACAGCTTAGAAAGGGAACAATAAGAAGCAGCAGGAAAGAAAGATAAACAAACTTGTTACCTTCGCGATATAGAGAGGGAAAAAGTCCATCGGGAGAAATAACAACAGGACCATCTGGTAAAACCTTCCCATCCTGTAATACACAAAATAAATACGACAATGTAAATTGCTTTAGCTCCTTTCTTTTCCCCATTGTTGAGATGGAAACTGATTTCTAATTTTATACATCACCTGTTTAAGGTTGAATAGGAACTGTCGTGTAAGATAGGCCTGGAATATTGAACGAGCACTGAGAAAAAGCAGTTGGTAACCATTCTCCTGTAAATGTGAAATTGACAAGGGAAAGGACCATAAAAGAACTTGGACTCAGGTAAAAAAAAAGGATCAGAAAGTAGTTACAGGCAAGGTACAGGTACAGTCTCCATCCAAAATCTCCCCAGAAAATGAATCATATTAGAACAGTAAAACATTTAATAGAAGCAAACAATTTTGCGGTCTTAACAAAAAAGCGACATATTATTTGTTTTGAGCCCACCTACCCCAAAACTGCCCATATTCAATGATGTATGATCAGTATACTCAGGATTTGACCATATCATCACGTTGTAGTAATTCAAAACATCTAAGCACATGGACAAGAGAAACAAACCTTGATAGCGGAGAAAAAATGTGTAACCCCTGTCTGTGACCAGTCAATTCCAACCAAAGGCATGAACTGACCAAGAACATCTGACCTGTACGACATGAAAGAAGAGAAAGAAATTACCATTGTCACAGTCACACTATTGAGTCAGAAATTCTGAAAATAAAAACAGAAAAGCTGCAGAAGAAATGGACTCTAATAGGCAAAAGCTTATCAAGATGTTAAAATGTTTGCAGGAAGAAAGAAAGGAAATTCAAACAACTTCTACAATTTTACTATCTGTTGTCCGTCTCGTCTTACTTCTTTGCATACTATTCATAATGCAGTTGGCATTCCAATATAAATATGAAAACTCTACCTTTTCGGCTTAAAATTGATCAAGATATTACTACAACACATCACTTTTCTCATAAGAAAAACACCATAAATAGTCAATCAATTTGACTTTAAAGGCATAATGCTAATTATGAAACTGATTATATCTGTTAGAATAGTTGTAAAAATAATTCAGTATATATATAGTCCCACATCGTATGAGCTCAACCTATTAGGTCTTTTAGTCTCTTTAAATAGAGAGCTCTTGTACATTGTAATACACCATGTGATTATTCAATATACAATTATTCTTTAATCTCAAGTTGGTATCAGAGCTTTTTCGCTCTGGGGATCCGCTTCCGCTAAAACCCTAAGCCCACTGCTTAGGTGTTCTCTTCTACTTTGTCGTGCATTCTTCCGGCGAGTTTTTCTCTAAGCCGTGTGTCTCTCCGGCTTGTTTCTTCAACTGTCAGAACCACTTCTCCGCCGCCAACAACCGCCGCTCGTCACTGTTCAGGCCACCGGAGCACTGTTCCGGCGAGTTTTCAGCCCAGACTACCTGCGATCAGGACCGTCTCATCCCGGCGACCAGTTCTGTGGTGGTCCGACCACCGTCGCGTCAGCCACGCGCCTCCACGCGCCGTTCTTCTCCTTTGCGCGTGGTGCTCACACGCCACCTTCAACCGGCGCGTGTGCATTGTTCCGGTGGATTTTTCCGGCCGTTCTTGGACAGAACTTCTCGCCTTCTTCTCCTCTTTCCGGATCTGTGCTGGTTCTTTGTGGGTCTCACTTTAGACGCGTGGTTCTCCTTGATTGGATATCGTTTGCCTTCGTTTACGGCTTTTATATTCTGTTTTTAAATGGCAGCAGTGTCCACTGATCTCTCGGAGGTTAACTCTCCTTGTCCTCCTGTCAAAACTTCCTCAGGAATCATCTCTACTAATATTGGGCCCATTACATCTTCCAAACTGAAGGATTCTACTTCTCTTGCTGCGAATATAGCTCAGTCAGACAATGCATCATTTGGTTCAGTTTCTCTCTCACTTGCGGACTATGCTGCACTCCAAACTCTTCTCAAGAAGGCTTCTCCTCAGTCTCAACCATATACTGGTAATCCCGTTGCTTGTGTTTCTCATTCTACATCACTTGACACTTGGATATTTGACTCAGGTGCTACCGATCATCTCTGTGGTAATAAGGAACTCTTTACATCTCTTACTTATTCTGATCATCTACCTTCTTTTACCCTTGCAGATGGAACCAAAACCCCAGTTCGTGGGATTGGACAAGCTCGTCCGACCTCTACCTTGGCCTTGACATCTGTTTATTACATTCCCGGCATCCCTTATAACTTAATTTCTATTAGTAAGTTGATACACTCCCTCACTTGCACCATTACTTTCTCTAACCATTCTGTTTCTGTGCAGGATCCGGGTACGGGGGAAATGATTGGAGTGGGTCGTGAGTCACGGGGGCTTTACTATCTAGATGTGCCTCGTCCTTCAGTGGCACACTCTCTCACAGAATCTCCACAACTTATCCACAGTCGCCTCGGTCATCCAAGTCTTTCAAAGTTGCAGAAAATGGTTCCTCTTTTATCCGGTCTTCAGTCTTTAGATTGTGTGTCATGTCAACAAGGGAAGCATACACGTTCCTCTTTTGTCAGTCGAGTCAATAAACGAGCTGATGCCCCTTTCTCTCTTTTTCATTCAGATATCTGGGGTCCAAGTCGTACCTTGTCTGTTTTAGGTTTTCGATATTTTGTTACCTTTATTGATGATTTTTCCCGTTGCACTTGGGTCTATTTAATGAAAAATCGTTCGGAGTTATTTTCCATTTATAAAAAGTTTTATACTGAGATTCATACTCAATTTGGTGTTTCTACTCGTATTCTACGTAGTGATAATGCTAAGGAATATGTTTCTATTGATTTTTCTAATTTTTTGGCCACACAAGGTACTTTACATCAAACTACTTGTCCTCACACTCCACAACAAAATGGGGTGGCTGAACGTAAAAACAGACATCTCATTGAAACTGCACGTACCCTTCTTCTTCATATGCAGGTTCCCCTTCACTTCTGGGCAGATGCTGTACTCATCTCTTGTTTTCTCATCAATCGCATGCCCTCATCTGTGCTCAACAATGACACTCCTCATAACCTATTGCTTCCAGATGTTCCTCTTTATCCTCTAACTCCACATGTCTTTGGTTGTACTTGTTTTGTTCATGATCTCACTCCTGGTAAGGATAAGTTAACATCCAAAGCCTTTCAGTGTATCTTTCTTGGTTATTCTCGTCTTCAAAAGGGTTATCGTTGTTATTCTCCCGATCTTAAGCGTTACTTAGTTTCCGCTGATGTCACTTTTCTTGATCAACAACCCTTTAATTCTATTCCATCTCAGTTGTCACAGGTTGATCATGTTCTTCCTGTCCCTTTTCTTGACTTGTCTTTGCCAGCTGCAGGTGCTTCTATTCCAAATGAGCAACCTATTGCTTCTATACCTGAGGACCGTCCACTTCTCACCTATCAGCGTCGCAAAACTGTGCCTCCTGTCGACTCGACTCTTGCTGACTCATCGCCCACTGCTGTTGCTTCTTCCTCTCCGGATCCTTCACCAGAGGCTCTTCCCATTGCTCAAAGAAAAGGTACACGTACTACTCGTAACCCTTATCCTCTTTATACTTTTTTGAGCTATGACCGTCTTTCTTCACCTTATTTCACCTTTGTTTCTAGTCTTTCTTCTATTTCTATTCCTAAGACCACAGGTGAAGCACTTTCCCATCCAGGGTAGCGCCAAGCGATGCTTGATGAGATGACTGCACTTCATTCCAATGGCACTTGGGACCTTGTTTCTGCTCCTCCAGAGAAGTCTACAGTTGGTTGTCGCTGGGTGTTTACTGTGAAAGTTGGACCTGATGGCCATGTTGATCGACTCAAGGCCCGCCTAGTTGCAAAGGGTTTTACTCAAATATTCGGCCTTGATTATAGCGATACATTCTCTCTGGTCGCTAAGATGGCATCAGTTCGCCTATTTCTTGCTCTTGCTGCTATTCGTCACTGGCCACTCCTTCAACTTGACATCAAAAATGCCTTTCTTCATGGTGATTTACAAGAAGAAGTTTATATAAAGCAACCACCGGGTTTTGTTGCTCAGGGGGAGTCTGGGAAAGTGTGTCGTCTTCGCAAATCCTTATATGGTCTCAAGCAGTCTCCTCGGGCATGGTTCAGTCGCTTCAGTTTTGCTGTTCAGGAGCTTGGCTTAATTCGCAGTAAAGTTGACCACTCTGTGTTTTATAGGATCACATCTCCTGATAAGTGCATCTATTTGTTAGTCTATGTTGATGACATCATCCTCACCGGGAGTGATCAAGCTGGAATTTGTCAGTTAAAACAGTATTTATTCAGTCAATTTCAGACAAAGGACCTCGGGAAGCTGCGTTACTTCTTGGGAATTGAGGTAGCACAATCTAGACAGGGCATTTCTTTCTGTCAAAGGAAGTATGCCTTGGATATCCTAGAAGAGACTGGTATGTTGGCGTGTAAGCCAGTTGACACACCCATGGATCCTACTATCAAATTACTACCCGGACAAGGAGAACCATTATCTGATCCTGGACGTTATCGGAGGTTGATTGGGAAGCTCAATTATCTCACTGTGACTAGGCCGGACATTTCTTTTGCTGTTAGTGTCGCTAGTCAGTTTCTTGATTCTCCATGTGATTCTCATTGGGATGCTGCTGTTAGGATCCTTCGTTACATCAAAGGAGCACCAGGGAAAGGTTTATTATATTCAGATCAGGGAAATACAGAAATTTGTGGTTATTCAGATGCCGATTGGGCAGGATCACCCTCGGATAGGCGCTCTACTTCAGGCTATTGTGTTTTCTTTGGAGGAAACCTGATTTCTTGGAAAAGTAAGAAACAAACTGTTGTTGCCCGATCTAGTGCAGAGGCCGAGTATCGTGCAATGGGAGTTGCTACCTGCGAGCTAATCTGGTTAAAGCAGTTGATTCGGGAGCTCAATCTTTGTGAACAGAAGAAACCCATGACTCTCATTTGTGACAATCAAGCTGCACTACATATATCCTCTAATCCTGTATTTCATGAGAGAACCAAACATATAGAGATCGATTTTCATTTCATTCGAGAAAAGATTCAGTCAGGAGAAATCAAAACGGAATTTGTCAACTCCAATGATCAACTCGCGGATGTCTTCACTAAAGCTCTTAGGGGTCCTCGGGTTGAATATATTTGTGGCAAGCTGGGTGCTTACAATATATATGCTCCAGCTTGAGGGGGAGTGTTAGAATAGTTGTAAAAATAGTTCAGTATATATATAGTCCAACATCGTATGAGCTCAACCTATTAGGTCTTTTAGTCTCTTTAAATAGAGAGCTCTTGTACATTGTAATACACCATGTGATTATTCAATATACAATTATTCTTTAATCTCAAGTATATCCACCAATTTTACAATAATCATGACTAGAATGGACTAAACAAGGATCCTTATCTACTTAAAATTTCATATCCAATCAGTGTCATTGAACTGCAACCGGCCAACCTTGGTTGTCTAGCTCCATTAATTACACGATTCAATCTGAACACCCCCAAGTGAATGACAATAAAACTTTCCTTCTACAGGGCATGTCAAACTCCATTAACTAGTTCATAAGCCTGATTGGCTTCACCAAGTAAACAACATATATTTAGGTCAAATTCCTTCTATAAAGTCCTAATACAAACCAGGGTTGGCAAACATTGTATTTTTTTTTTTTTTAAAAAAAAAAAAACTAGAAACTTTGTTGTGTCTAACTTCCCTTACAAACATAAGTTTTTAAATTAAAAACCCAGCTTATAAGAGAATGAATCTATACACTAGGTAAACAAATTTATGTACAGACTCGACCACTAAGAAGTAAAAATGAAGGTAACCTCCAGAAACAATGCCACCCATTCAACTATGAAACTGGTGTTCTAATATTCCTTCCTAAATCCTAATTGTTCCAATTGCAATCTTCCACAACCACCTCAAGGTGATACTAAATATTGGATTTATACTCCAAGCTTAATAGATTTATGTTTGTAGTTTGTACTGTGTTTCCATTAGATATTTCAGGATGGTAGGAACATACTAATTCTGAAAATCATATGACGGGAAGTAAAACTAAAAGGCAACTAAATGATAAAAGAAAAATAGCATGAAATAAGATTCAGATGATTTTTGAGGAACAAACAACTGAAAGGCTGAACATGCAGATCAACCCTGAAATTGGTATCCTGTTAGCACTAAAAACTAAAAACAAGCTTGGGAGACCCATGTCTAGTTTTCTTCCAGTGATAACAAGAGAGAAAAAAGTACCATGCTGGGCTCAAAAGAAACAAGATCTGTAAAGAATCTGATTGTTCACTGCCATAAAAGCATCATATAGTAGATGTTTACTGTTACATAGCATAGCACAATTAATTTGACCCTGACATATATGTGAAGAAATCAGGGGTCACATATTTTCTCCTTGGTCTAAAAAACACGGATTTGGAAGCTCATGGAAGAACACATTATGTCACAGATATATTTTACTTGATTTGATTGAACGAAGAAAAATACATTCACTCAGCAGTTAGATTTAAATGAGATTGCAGAGAGGTATATTTTTAGGTCGATATCTTCATTTGGTATGTAACATCAAATTAAAAAGAAGAAAGAAAACAACTAATAAAAAAAACAAATATATCTATTTCGAAAACAATTTTATTTTCCAAAAGATATATCCTTACCTTGTAATTGTCCCATCCACATCTGAGATCACTATACGAGTGTTCCATTTCCACAAATATATTTGAGCATCAACCTGCTATCAAACATAAAATAGAAAAAATAATAATGGATGAGATTTCAGTTAAAGAAACATACATAAAAAGAAAGGGGAAGTAAACTTCATGTACTTAAAATAAAATTTAGAAACTCATGATTGCTGACCTGCTGCTTCCCCAGCACAGCTGTAGAGAAAGTGAAGGTTACAGTGTTCCTCCCTTCCTTCAGATTCAAGGATGCTAGCTGTTCAGAAGTTGGAGTTTTTCCCGTTACCTTCTTTTTCATTAGATTGGATCTATGCACACTTTTGTACCCATCTGTGCTAATCATATTCTCTGAAGAATTATCAAAAGTGGTATTTTTGGCATCCCTTGGAATAGGCAGCATAGCTTTTCTAGATCTTGATCTGGAGAAAGGCCACATTCTCCAATTTCCATCAGGGGAAGGGTTGTGAATTGACGGATCTCCTGTATGATTTTTCTCAACTAGGTTAATAGGTATCATACCTTTAGGTTTAAATATTTTTTGACTTGAAAAGACACCATGCCTAAATCCCACAGAAATTAATGATGTCCAATCTTAATAACATGCCTATTATCCCTCCGGGCCTAGAGAAGCAAATTTATTACCAATTTCAGCATCAAATGCTCTAGAAGTAGAGTCAGCTTCTATCCTTCATACAAGGATTGTTTGCATAGTATAGTAATCAGTAATCAGTAATCACCTATATAGCTTAATGCTTAAGACATATTTTTCAAAGCTACAACAACGACAAAACCTTTCCATTTTTCTCTGCCAAAATACAGGAGACAAGCCTGCTCAAATTAAGTAAATGTTCAAAGTACAAAGTAGGTTGCTTCCAAATCTTTAGTGAAAATTACATATTGCTGCTACAAAATGTGTAACAATAATCATTCTATAAAAACGGTATGTTCAGTATACTACTAGAACAAGATGGAATATAATTTAAAGACATGGACTGTTTTGAATTCAGTAGACAGACCAAAACAAATGAGATGTTACAGTGGTAATATATAAAGTTCTTACCAAGGGGAAGCTTCAGAACAGTACTCTCGAACTCCTCAGAATTATGGTAATCGTGGGCACCTGGCTCCTCATGTGATAACTGGTTTTCTTTGACTTCATCTGATTTTTGACATTTCAAGTCATCTTTGTCAGGACATGTCCACAGCAAAGAAGCGGATTTTGAGTCCAGAGATTGACTTAATGGATAAGAAACAACATGTTGGCCCAGGCTGTCACTACAAGAAGAAATATTTGGTAACGATATTATGTGCTGCTCAACTACCTCCTCAGCAGCCTCATTTCTAGGGATAACTATGGGACTGGATATAACTCTTAACTTTTCGGTGTCATTCTCATAAGAAAGATCATCTTCTTTATCTACATATTCCGGGGAGAATGATCCCTCAAATTGATCATTGGCTCTGCTTTCATCAAGGTCACTAAAATGGAAGTTTTCTTCCTCTGAACTTGGTGATGGTGATCTAGTTGCTTTTCCGGGTAAACAATCACCAAGATAGTCCGGAGGAGATGATAACGTGATAGAGATATCTTTGTCCCTCATATTATTCTCGTCTAAGGTTTGATCATCCTGGCCGTTGTAACTGGAAGGTTTGGTAACATAGTTCGACTCAACTTTCTCAGTTGAACAATGTCCTAGGTGCATATTGACAGTTTGAGATTTTGGAGATGTTGGTAGGTCTTCAACATCCATCACATCGTACATACTACGATCAGAATCAGTACAATCTGTTTGTTGAGCCTGAGAATGAGACTCAGAGACCTCCATTACTGGCATCCCAAGATCAGCATTCTTAGTGACATCCTCAGTTTCTGTACCCTAAAGAAGAAATTTAACGTGTCAATGTCAACCAAAACAGATTACACTGATCGCTTTATTTAATCATTGCAATTGATATGTAAAAAGCTCTATGATAACAATTTAGAATCATTTATTCTTTATGAAGCTAAAACATGAATTGAAGGCTACTCGGCTATGAGTTTACCTCAGATAGCAGTACAGTTGCACCATGCAAGACTTCATCATCATGGACACAGACTTCACATCCTCCGCCAGCAAGGTGCATCACATCGTGAGCTTGTTCACTAGAACAATCCAAGCCCACTTTGGAACACTCTGATGCATCGGAGTAAACTAGAGAATGAGCTCCATCTGGTGAAATGTCCTCCTCAGAAATATCATTACCCGGTGCATCAACAACAGTGCTTAAACCGGAAACCTCCTCTCCATTAAACTGCTTTTCAATGCGTGATTCAAGCTCCACACACGAAACTTCCTTTTCATTAGGGTCACGTTCACCATCCTGTGCCTCACCTTGGTGCAATGAGCCATTGTCCAAGGGAATGTTATCAGCCCCAGAAGAGGTAGCAAGAATATTTTGTCTGTATTTACCAGAGGTAGACCACTTGAGGTCCAACAAGTTGGCTGCAATCTCAGCACGCTCCAATGAATCTTCCCTATTTCCATCACCATCTTCAACTTGCCCCTTCAAAGACCTTCCTCCAAATACAAGGCCAAGTATTCGGGAGCGGCGAGAACTAGACCTGGACACAACAACCTCTCCATTATGTGAATCGGAGTAACAACTTCTGGACTTGAGAGATTGATCGTCCGTGTCATCGCCAGAAGAATATGGATACATCAAACTGGAATCTTCTTCTTCTTCTTGTTCTTGTGTATCGATTTCTCTGAGAAAGAAAGCTTCCCCTTTATGATCCAGATACATTTGGAAACTAGCATCCACGCCATTGACATTGATATCGACCACTCTTTCCCTTGCCTTCAAAACCCCTTGGAATTTGCCAAATCGGACATACCAAGGGGAGGACTTGAAGCTCCCATCACGCTGTTCCACCACCACAATATCAACGGCGCCACCGAAAGGATGAAACGGACCTGAAACTGTGTACACACCCTGGCTTATATAGCTGCCGAGCCTCCCAACCGCTTGCATCCTCCACAATTATTCTATTCTATTCTATTCTATTATATTATATTTCTGTTCAAAAAATCCAATCTTGGTTTCATAACACTGAAACGAAACCAACCACGATATAAGAACCCGATCGGTTCTCAATCCCAATCCAGAAACGTGAATGAGAAAGAGGGAAAACCTGAGTTATGAAAGGATATTCGAATGTACCAAAGGCCAACAGTAATTAAAACGGTGAACAGATGGATATTTAACAATATCCAAATTAGATTAATTGAATCGTTCTTATATTAAAGTGTCCGATGTTAAGGTGAGGTGAAGGATGGCGTGTCTCCGAGAAGCCCCGGACGAGGACGACTTGGTGGTGAAGAAAAAAAAGAACAACAACAGTTACACGTGGCTTGCCGTGGGGCCCGCTTTTGAAATTGCTTGGCTCTTGTCACACCGTTGGATCAATCTATCCATCCTGCTTGCTTCACGCTTCTTCATTCTTCCTATTTTCAACCACGCTACTCACATCCTCGTCTTGGAATAGTTCCTATTTTAACAAAGCTATCCATCCATGATAATCCATCCCTCTTTCAAAGAAGTATCAAGTAATATTTGAATTTTTTTTTACGGCAATATGAATCTCACTAAATCACGTAAGCTTACTTTCCCTTCTATTTAATAATAATAATAAAAAAAAACAACGTTAAAGTACTAAGTAATAATGAGTATTTAAACAATAATTGATTTAGAAGTTCTTAACTGTATTATCGTTAACGTGTTCCGTATTAGTACTGAAAATGTCTTTAAATCGATAACTTCTTTTAAAATTTGGCCAAAAAAAGCCACAATCTAATACTGAAACGGTTTTAAGAAAAGAAAAAAAAAAGTCAGAAAGAAAATGATTGGGCCATAGCCCAAACTGAGAAAAATATGAGGAAATCGAAAACGGCGCCACAACCAGTTGAATGTGTATGGGCCCAAATGTATGAACAAAACTGTGGTTTCAGCCCAACGCACCAAAAACATAACCGACAGAATATTATGTTGTGTCATGGGGGTGGCCCCCAATTTTCATCTTGTGTTCATGGGGCTCACTGAGATTTGGTCACGAGGCGCTCCTCCACTTACGACTGACGAGGTTTTCCTCCAATTCAAGAGAATCAATCTGGGACAGCCAATCAATCAGGTTTACAATTAAACCTTCATTTTATTACAGACCAAACTTTGATCTTAGTAATATATATTATATTCTTCTGTAAAAATAAGAGACGAGTTTTCATTCATTCATTTGTTTTTTTTTTTGTTTTTCCTTATCTTCACCTGCCTTTCCCAGACAAAATAATAATAATAATAATAATAATTGTATTTATTACGTGTTTACGTCATTAAAATTTGACTCATTTTTACATTTGGTACAGAAAGTTTATTTTGTGGATGATTAGTGCGTTCTGATACATAGCGCATAGAAAAGAAGCCGCAGAGCTGAGTCTTAACTTACCAGATACATGAACGGTTATTCAGTGACCCATGTTGTGCCAACCAGCTTAGTGGAATGGTCATGCACTCGCATATGCTATAGGATTTTGTTCCAATTGGAATCATAGTACAACAGCGATTGGATGTGGTGGTCCTCTTTCAGAAAAGAATTGTTTGTGACCATACTTGCCCATATCTGTATGTATAGCTCATCATTATATATATGCTTATCATTAATTGTTAGTACGATCTTTATGATTTTCATCTCAAACCGTTTCTCCTGATAATTACCCATTTGAAATATATATTTTGTGTGCATTATGTATGGCCGTCATATGATTGTTATAATTTGGAACTTTATGACCTTCTCTTAATTTGTTCTGCAGCCTATCTAGTCATGACCATCCTTTAATTTCATCATTATTATGATAAAAAAAAATCCTCCTACCTTCCGGTTCCTTTTTCATTGAAAAGGTCATGTGTTTGGTGTTACGGACCTTGAGGACACCACCCCAATGTGGGACTCGTAACATTGTCAGCTCTTTTAAGGGCCGACGTCCATGACTACTTTTCTTTTACTCTATCGACACTGACTCAACGATAGCCCCTTAATTCAGCCTATAGGTAGTCCTTTCTGTGGGCTAAACTCTCAATGAAAGCATCAATTGTTACGGATCTTGAGGTCACACCCCAAAAGCTAGCTCAATGAATGAGTGTCCAAGGCATTATAAACCCCACGTTAACTTCCTATACAATCAATTTGGTTATTTTCCTCTGTTATCCAAAAAAAATAAAAAAATAAACATGATTTGGTTGTTATCGCTCAATCAGTAGAAAGTGGGAGTGATGTTGAACTTGTGACGATGTAGTTATTGACTTATTGCTGCTATAATATCTTGATAAACAATCATTCCATCAAAAAGCTGAAATTGTTGGGTAAAGCCACTTTAATAATTTTATATATATAATTTTCTCTAACACATGTAATTTTCCTTTTTCTGACTATGGGCCTTGGTTGGTGTAGATTGAGCTTTCGTAACTGTTAAGCCTGTAAAGAACATGTCCCCGCCCTTCATGTACGTAAATATCATCGACAGTTGTACACTAAACTTCAAGATTCCATGAATGCAGTCTTTCTTACAATGCGGACATGATTGTGACAGGGTAGAACCGATTATTTGGCAAGGGAATCTAGCATATCTGGTCCAAATATGTTTCGTTTGGATATCATTTTGAAGGAAAATCAAAACAAAATAACCACGACAGAGAAAAATGAAAGAAAAGAATAACAGCTGCACAAACGCTCAGGTTATTATGGCTCTGCAAGGAGAATGTCAGAGAAAACATAGGCAATTAGAGTATATAATTAATGACGCGTCTCTAGCTGCTATATGCATATCATTGGTATGTCAGAACTGAGAATTCCCATATATAGATCAGTATCTTTTTTTTTATTTAAAAAACTATAAATAATTCCATGTGAATATCTATATCTCTTCTTAACCCGCATACTCTCCATTACTGCAGTCTCAATGCCAATTTTTATTTTTTTACCTTCAGTGTCTAAGAGTATATTTTACTTAAAAGAAACCAAGTTTTTAGCCACAGGAACCGAGATACTTTAATGGATTGCAATTGTTGTTATCACTTCACAGGATCAGAACTGCTTGTTTGAGTTTTCATTTTTTAATCTCATTTAACAGCACATTTTCTATGCCTAATTGCTTAAAATATAAATAGGAATATTATATCTAACCTGAAAATCTACACCAGAGTTAAATTTGGTTCCCGATGTGTCAATTATTAGTTATCAATTTTATGGTATACTACGTTAATTTGATAAATGTTAGTAACCAACAATTAACATATTGGTAAATTTCCCGGGGTAAATGCAGATTTAACATTACTAAAATATAATATATGAAAACTAGGACAGTAAGTACAACCAGGAACAAAAAAAAAAAATATCTATTATGTATGTGTGTATCAGTAATTAAGCTTCTCTTCTTTTGCAATAGAATTTTTGCAGTGAGCAATTGCAGCTTGAATGGCTGCTTGCAACTCTTCCATGGTACTGTCATTAGCAGGAGGAAAAGCTGTAGTTGCAAGCAGAAGGCCACTGTTTGTTGGAGAAGTCCTCATAGATGCTGGTGCTGAATATTCTCCTCTCCTTCCCCTCAATTCAGGCTTATTTTTTCGTATTAAATTCCCAGAATGAGAATAAGCCTGTTCATGGAATCGAATTTTTTCTCTTCTCCCTCTGAAAAGCTCTAATGACTGCACCATTCTTAAGTACCTCTTCATTGCATGAACCACATCAAACCCGAGCTTCCTCTTGTGCTTCTCTTTATCATCCTTATCTCTAACTTGACACCCTTTACGCCCTCTTGTTAAACCAAACAATGAGAAAGTAGTTTTGGACTTACTTTCTTCCTTTGTCCCTCTATTGTTGTCTTCCCTGTTGCTGCAGCTGTTGTTGCTGATGCTATCTATGGTGATGTTGCTCCTGTTGCTGCTGCAGCAGCTGCCACTGTCCTTTATGGGCTTTTCCTCTTGCAGTAAGTCTCTGATTGGGAGGGTGAAGTTGTCCAAGGAATTGGTGGAAAAGCGAGGTGATGAAGGAAAGTGAGATAACAGGTGGAGGGGAAGCAAGTGACCATGGAAGAAAATGTCATCAGCGGGAGATAAATCAACTGCAAGGGAAGGTGGAACTCTTGATTTATTATCAGGGATTGTGGTTGAGGAAGAGTGGAGAGAGATTGTGAAGGAGAATTCATGAGAAGGTGAGGAAGATTGTGAAGGCGGTGGTGATGGTTGCTTTGTTGCTTCAATCTGCTTTTCCACATGGTTTTGGTGCTGTTGTGTTTCCATGACAGTTTTGAGTTATTGTCTTGAAGAGTAACAAGATTGCATACAGTATTTGCAATTCTCGCTCTATAATCTTTTCTTTTTGGTGGAAAGATATAGAAAGGTGTTGTAATGTAATATTTTCTTTGTTCTATGGATGTTAACAAAGCTTTAAGAGGGATCAGCGAACCGGAAAACAGGGAAAGAGAAGAGTCTTTATCAAACCGCTGTTGAACTTGGTATGTCTTTTTCTAAAAGCTTATGACATTAGTTGTGTGTGTATTATTATTTTTATTTTTATTCTACAAGATATCTCTCCCGCCAAGTGTTAAAGACTAATTTTTTTGAGTCGAGAGATCATATGAAGTAGGTAAATTTTTTCTGTACACATCGAACCTCCTAGCATACTTAAGCTTAAGGAACTTAGCTATCTACTAATTGTGTCGGACTTTATCGATGAGTGTATTATTTACGTGTGATTTATTGAAGCATAATCAACGGATGTTTTTTTTTTTTTTTTCCCGTAGTTACATTATATAGAAGGGTGTTACGGAATGAGATAAGATGATGTATTTTACTCAATGGTTGGTGCTTTGTTTTGTTGGGTCCCTGTCATGTCCAACACCAATTGTTGTGCTGGTTTTGGAAACGAGGTCACAAACATCCAAATTTGGCCACCAAATGAAGATGGGATCGGCACGACGGATTTCACTCGAAAAATTTGGGTTTTTTTGCAATCAGTGTGAGAAGGTTCTCATGGAAAGAAATTTCCATGTACATTTCACAAGAATAATTATAAAAAGTACCCCAACTCAGGAGTTTGTCTAATAGTTAAGCGGGCTAGGGTATGAAAATATTCCATTGTATTTGGGAGGTATTTTTATTTGGTAGTAGGACTAATTTTTACAACAATCGACAGACTAAGTCTCTTCTAAAACTAAATTTCTATAGGGCTCATTCAAGATTTTGAACATGTCTGGAAGTATTTATCTTCTATATTCATTATTGTTATTGAAAATGATCCTACTTTTTTAATATTTAAGTTCTAACATACATTTATTTACAAATTACATGGTTGATTTTATGCCAACTGGTAATAAATAAAAAATTACATTGTTTTCATCAGTGTAACATTCTATATTGAGTCCATGTTTGTTTCATTTTTTTAAAGGTAATTGTCTTTTTAAAAAACTTCTTAAGATCATAAAAAACATTTGTATTCAAATACGCCTTCCAGTCTCTAAGAAAGGTTTAAAACTTTAATTCTGAACTCATCCCGAATAAAATTACCTCCCGTGGAGGATAAATGTGATTTTCGTCATATATATATATATATATACCTTCAAGTTAACTCATGTTATAAGGGCTCGTTTGGATGAGCTTTTTTTTAGTCAGAAGTTACTTTTTTCTCAAAAAAAAAAAACATTTTTAGTTTAAAGTGCATTTGGATGCTGCTTCTAAAAAAAACATAAGTCATATAAAAAGTCAAAAATTTACTTTTTTCAGAAGTTAAAAATTTTAACTTATCAAAAAAGCAAAAGTCAAAAGCTAATTTATTTTTTCAAAAAATAAATATTTTTTAAAAAATCTAAATAATTTTAACTTTTATAAAAAGCACTTTTAAAATAAGTAAGTCATAAAAATAACTTTTTTTAAAAGTGAATCCAAACGCACTCTAAGAGCCTTTGAAATTATTTTTTTTATTTCTTATTTCTTATTGATCGACTCAAATCCTTCTGTAATAATGGATACATAAATTTGCACAAATTCTCATCCATTAATTTAAACGTAAATTAATAAATGCATACACCTTCATGAATTATCATATAATTAAAAAGGATTCGCTTTTTCTTCGGGTATTGCAGATAAGTTATCTGCAGTAAGCGCAATACGACGTCGTTTTGGGGCGAAAATCATGATGTTTTTGTAATTTTAATTTATTTCAGTGTTATTTTAGTCTTTATAAATATAACTTTTTAATATTTTAATCCCAAAACGATGTCATTTTGAGAGTAAATGCAGATAATGTATATGCGGTAACGGCAGAAATATTTTTCTGAATTAAAAAAGATATAATCTCTTACGCAATATAATTTAAAAGTTCATACTTCCACTTTAAACTACACAATCATGACAAAAAATAACATAAAAACTATTCAAAAGATTAAATTTCAATCAAATCCAAGTATTCCGTCACACTAATATTTTATATAGCTAATTTATTGAATATTAACTAAAATATATAAAAATATGAATCTTCGTGCAAGCACGGGGTAAAAGACTAGTGTAATAAAAAATCTGTGTCTAACCACTTTCATATCACCTCGCTTTAGTTGGACGCAATTATTCTAATACGATAATTTTGATATCTTTTTACGAGCACATTGGCTAATTATTTTAAGATTTTCATTGTAAGATAATAAAACAATAATAAAGAGTGTTTAAAATAAAATATGATTATGCAGTGAGAAATTGGAAAATATTTAAAAACAATTGTAATTAAAGAGTATATAAGAAGTATTTTAAAATTTGTTAGTTTATATTCATTTTAAATATTAAAGAGCAATATTCTTTTTTATATTCAAATGTAAAGCTTTCGATTGATAAAATATATGTATTTATGCCTACAAAAAAAAAATACATTTATAATTTTCGTATGTGTATATCATCTTTAAACAAGTAATTAATAATATATAGTAATTTTGAGGGGGGGAACCAAAAGTGAAAAATCCCTTATAATAATGTGTGTGTATATATATAATGAAATTTGAAGCTAAGGACACCAAGAAGAGATCATAAAATTCACCCTCATTTTTTTTTCTTGATGAACAAATATCCGAATACTTGTTGATCTCATGTGCAAAGAATGATAAAGTATAATCACATAAACAATGCAAAATATTTACTTGAAAAAGAGAGTGGGAGGGAGGGCCACGATCACCGTCCAGCTGTTGGGAATGATTCATTCACCCATTCATTGATTGATGAACACGAAAGCTCAAAGAAACAGAAGGACCAATGTCGTTTAGGGAAGAGAGGTCATGTGAGTGTGAGCCCCTTTATCCGACGGTGGCCAACACTATGTAGTGTGTATATATAATATATCTATGCGTAAAGTCCACAACCATATATACATACATTGACTGTCATAGTCATAGACACTGAAAGACACGTGAATAATATATATATAAGAAGAAGAAGAAAGATAAAAAAAGAAAAAAAAAAAAAGTTAGGTGGTGGGAGTGGTCACAGACCCACACACACGTGCAAGCATATAAAGGAATTTTGTATGCATGCATGGTTAAGGTCAACATCTTAATCATGGAGGCATTATTTGGTTGGATTGAACCTTCCTCTTCACTTTCACCACTCAAAATTATATTCTATATTTCTCCTCTCTTTTTTTCATTTTTTTATTTTCGAGATAAGAGAGAGAAATCGTAGTACAAAACAAAAACTTCACGATCGAACAACATAGATGTCCTTCTGTGTGGGAATTTTTTTTGCTTTTTCTGCCTCTCATATTAATTAGCCATTCAATATCTTCAATCATTTTTCCAAAACATGGCCATTCCTAGGCCAAATAGCAAAGCCTTGCATCACTTCCCTTCCTCGCTTTTGTTTTCGTTTCAACTAGTCATCACAAGTTGGATCGTTTTCAGAAATCCCCAAGAAAACGGATCACGGTTTCATTAATTGGCGTGTTCAGACATCTAGAAAATGGATGGTTCAAATAGGGAATAGTGTGAACTTAAAATTCACATATTTACTTGCTTATATATGCTGACTTTTGTTATGAACATGCTTTATATTCATGCATACTTCTATAATGGTGGACTCTATTTCTTTTTTATTGCTGTATTAATTTCTGAGTTTTATTTTGTGGTGTTTTTTATGTACCGATCTAACCAGACTATTCTTTTACGAATTTAATAAATTTCTGTAATTTTATTTTGTAATCAAACTCAAGACAAGAAGATGAGGAGGGATCGAACTACTTTAAATGGGCTATTATTTAATTAATTATTGTTTTGTTAAAACTCGTTTGATACTTTACCCAATAAATAATTACTAATTATGCTAATTATGTTGTTTCAATTAAACATACATGATTACAAGTTTTTTTTCTTAAGAGATAATATTTAGTGTATGTTTGAATTTATTCATTTTTCTTTCAAAAAATTTATTGTGAAAATAATTCAAAGATAATATATAGTAAAAAAGTGTTGAATATTGTTATAATCTCATAAAGAATAATAATAAAAAATTATATTTAAGATCATTTTTCTCTTACAACCATTTTTATTATCGTTAGATCAAAATTAAGCCAACAGTTACAAAACAAAATCAAGTTAGAGCATTGATTTGATTTTCATCAAACGATAACAAAAATGGTTATAAGAGGTTCTAAAGGAAAAATAATTGTGAGCATAATATGCCCCTAATAAAAATACTTATTAAGATTACCAAAAAAAATACTTATTTAAAATTTAGTAATTATAGGATTTTATTTTGTTTTATGTATTAATAATTTTTAGATGCCCTTTTAAATTAGTTATTGTATATATTAAATGAAAATGTCATTATATTTATTTTTACATGTTATTAAATTATTAAGGTATAAAAAATATTTATAATTATTATTGCTTATTTTTTATTTTTAAAATAAATTTTAACTCAATACTAATTTAATTTTTCATTGAAGACATCACGTACTAACTACACGCAGAGGGGGAAAGAGAATTAGGGTGTGCATGACAACCATTCTATTCCCTGACACTATTTTTGAAAAGAAACAATTCTTTTCTATTTCTGTGCCTTGGAACAGTTTCTAAGAAAAAAAAAATGTGTTTGATAACATGTTCTATTTTTATTCTGAGAATGAGAATTGTGTTTGATAACACAACAAATAATATAATAAAATATAATTCCTATTAAGCATAAATTTTTTTTAGATCATCACTTTTCTTTTCATATGGCGGCAGCGGTGGTGGTAGAGGTGGGGCTGGTGGTGGCAGCATTGGTGATATCGATAGCAGTGGCTGCGACGATGGTGGTAGTAATGGTAGCAATAGTGGTGGTGGTTGGTGGCGTGGTGGTGGTGATGGTGGCAATGGCGATGACGTGATGATGGCATGGTGGCGATGGTGGTGACGGTAGTGGCTGCGACAATGATGGTGGTAGTGGTGACGGTCGTGATGGCAGTGGCTGCGGCGATAGTGGTGTTGGTGGTGGCGTGGTGGTGGTGGCATGGTGGTGGTGGTGATGGCATGGTGGTGGTGGTGACGGCAGTGGCTGTGGCGATAGTTGTGGTGGTTGGTGATGGTGGCGTGGTGGCAGTTGCAATGATGTGGTGATGGGCATGGTGGTGGTGGTGATGGTAGTGGAAGTGGTG